TTGACAGCCATTTTGCTTGACAGCCATTTTGCGTGAACTAAATTAAAAAGCAGGAGGTTTACAGCCATTTCATAAGTTTAATGTCAGTAAACAAGCAGAAAGTGGACTTCACCTCGTCTCTCATAAGTGCAGAGAAAAATCAAAGAAGAGCATATAAAAGCAAATTGATATTTCTTCTACTTGTTGGGTCGAGTTTCGTGTTGAAAATATACAAATTTTAACAGGTAGCTTTACACATAATTCATCACCTTATGCACTTTAACAGAACTTGTCATGCTTCGTAATCTTATAAAAATCATAAGGAACAAAAAAGATAAAAGAAATAAATTAAAAGACAGAATTAAAGTAACAGAACGTCTAATTCCTGTGCTTTTGAAGCATTTCTTCTCAAAAAGGCTGTTTTAACAACCACAAAAATAAGTAAATGACTTGTCTACGTCATCAAATTTTCATCCATATGCTACCTTGCTAGCCGGAGTAGTTTTCTTTGTCAAAAATGTCAGGAATTGCAAACAAACTCTTATTCTATTATTCACATTACATAGTTTGTCAATGAAAAACTACCTGCGGATACGAGGCATTTCTATAATAGTTTCTTTTATAGTTTTTTCCAATTGGTGAGATTCAATCCAGCTGCCTAAATATGTCAAAATATCACGAAACTTCATGTTTAGCCGTCTTGCAGCTGTTTTAATTTCGAAGCAACTTGCAAAATTTGGTTTGACTTATAATCTACTTCTTAAAGATAACTTGTTATAAGATTTCAAGTTTGCTCCGTCATAATCTACATAGATTTCACGACCTGTAATCATTACATTCAGAAAACCGTCGCCTCTTTGTTCTGAAATGCCTATTTACATTTAAACTTTTGGCTTTCCTGCAAAACCACATAAATATTTATAAGATTCATAAAGCAGATCTTACAACTAGGAAATGACGTGGCTGTCTTCATCAGCTATGTTTAACGATGACTTTTTTTTCTTTGAACATTTCTGCTTTAATAATCCAACATCTTTTTTTTTCGTCATAGATTTTGAATTTTGAATTTTATGTCTTCTATTTAAGGATAATCTGGATGATTTTTTAAAATCCACCAAGAGTCCCCTTGATCGTAAGCATAACTGTTTTGATTGAAAAAGCTAAGAAAAGAAAATTCTAATATGTTTTTGGATCCTTTTTGAGATTTCACAGAAGAAATTTCATTCAGTCATGGGTATTGAAGTTTTGATTCAGTCCTAATGGCTAAGGTTTTCAAACATGTCAATTGGTAATCTGACAAAGTTTTGACAAGTCATTTTGCTGTTTCTCGCTTAACTTTTTGTTGATCAGACAAAATCTTATTCGAACAGTTTCACCAATGAACTTTTATGTAGACGACTTTTTAACTTTCATTACAAATTTGCTCAAGCTTTGAATTGAACTTTATTCCACTCCTTTTTTTGTGATAAGAATTGATGTTTTGTAAAGCCCCGGCAAAATGACTGGACATTTGCACTGGTCATGCACTGGACATTGCTCACTTGTTCAGAGTATGGACATCAAGAGAATATTGGTGATGGCAAAACGACTGAACAATGTCCAGTGAACCTTTTCCCTGTTGAAGAATATGCGCGAGAAAACTGGCAACAGGGTGTTTCGTTACCTTTGAAAATACACTTTTTATAGCCCTAACCGCATCATCGTATGTATGCATCATCGCATCATCGTATCGAAGAATGGCTAGGACAGCTAGGTTCATCTCAATCACCGTATTCCTGCTCTCTGTCATCTTATCGGAATTAAAGCTAATCTCTTCAGAAGACTCGTCGTTACTAATGAAATGCCTTTCTCTTTTTCATTGAATTGAATGTTAATATCGATTCCATTTCTTTTACGGTGTTTACTAGGAAAGTTTGTTGAAGATTTGAATGTGGGAAATAAGTTAACACCAAATCGAATCTGTTACATCAATTGCGCGTGCGCGAACTGGACAATATTCAGTAGAATGGCAAAACGACTGAACATTTCACTACAACATCTATGAACAAAAGAAATTTAATCCTGTCTGCTGAACATTTTTGACTGCCTTCAAAATCGATTGAACAACATTAAACATAGCTGAACAAGACGACGCAAAACTTACGCTGGACAAATGTCCAGTCGTTTTGCCGTGGCTAAAGTGAGCATTGATGACGATAGGCAACGAAAATCCTTTGCAGAACGAAACAATTTCTTGTCACAAAAGCAGGCACAGTGGCAAGAGTAAGCTGATTTTGATAAGCGGTTGAGTCCATATTTGTAAACATTGCAAATACAGCTATATTATAATAAAATTAAAAGTTTTGTAAAGGTTTGTCTTGACGAGGTGTAAACGACAAGACTGACTCATTGACTATCACTTTAGCTTTTTAGAGCCTAACACAGAAATTTATCTTTAGAAAATATAGATATGATTGAATTGAAAGATCAAACAAAGTGGATTAACTCCACTATTAGCATTTTTCATTTAAAATTGTTCTGTTACGGGAAAGATAGTAATTTTACTGCCATGATTGGCGCTGTAAGGTGGGGCTGAAAGCAGCTGCAGCTGCCATGTCATCACTATGCGAGATAACTTCATCTTCAATAAATCTTAACGCGAGTACAACGCAACGTAAGCAAAAAAGAAAAAGTGACGTAACCCAATTGTTCTGCCAGAATTTCGAAAAAGCTTGCAATGCGTAATGCATTTTCTTGCTCTGAATATCTGCTTTCCAAAAAGTATCATAGTTGATAGGAGGTATTGAAAATCTCTTTGTCATAAAAAAATTTAAGTAGTTCTTCTGTGATATGCACACGATTCTAGAACCCTCGTAATAAATATTTAAAAGTGGCTCCAAACAAACAATTTCTCCAACAAACAGAAGCATTAAGAGATTGAATAAGGGTGATTTTATTCATAATATAACACTTTTATTATCTACATTGACTGTACAATTTTGGCTGTTAAGAAAAGAAAAAAGTATGAAAAATATGGATATGCAGATTACAAAGACGCCTAAGTGACTAAGAGGCAAGGTGGCAGGCTTCAGAACAAGTAGATTTCCTATCAAAATAACAGGCAAATTAAATGATAAAAGTGTTACGCTCAGGTAGTGATAAAAAATGATGTAAGCTAATGTAGTTTGGATATTTTATCTTTGTCATTTTCATCACCATCCTGTGGTTTATGGAAATATTCATCACGTATTTCTGATATCGCTTGCTGAATGAGACACAAAGAGTAGCCAGGCTTATCTGTCATCCAATGACGACAATTCCATATCAAATACTGAAGCTTCTAAAACTCAACGTGAAAAGCAGATTACAAAAGTCCTTATCAGCATAAAATCTTTGTCAAATCTTAATCAATCATTTTGCCACCAAAATATCTCCATCACTTTAGAATATCAACCGTTAATGTTTTTTGCAGATGGCATGCAATTCGAGAAGATGTTACGAAAGAAGATTTTTGGAGCCCATTCTCAATCACTACCCATGTACATTAATCCTCTCGGAGTGGACGTGTATCTATCAATGCAGCTTTTAAGAATGGACGAAATCGTAAGTGAATACACTATTTCATGAAATGACAAAGAAAAAATTATTAAAGAAACAACAATAGAAATTCAAGGACTTTAACTTTTTAGATGTAAGACATTTTATTTTCACAAAATTTTTTATTGCAGCTGTATCTTTAAATGGTCGTCCAGAGTGACTCGGAAAACATCAACCCCAAAAAGCCTTCAATAGAACAATAATGTTTTTACAAGGCTTGAAGAACAGGTTTCCTTCACCTGTGTCTTCGTGTTTTTACTAGAAATGTGATATGGTAGTTCTTGGTACATTCTGTCAACGCGGATGATAGCTTTTTGTATGCTTGATTACCCCCTGGGAGTAATAACTTCAACTGTAACTCGCAAGTCTCCTATACTTGTGATAAACATTGCTTATCCACAAATTTGACAGCGTCATCAAATTAATTGTGATTACATTTGCAAACTATTGTTTGGTTAAAAAATCAAAATGAAGGAATATTGCCTAAAAGCTGGACGAGATCAACACGAAAGCTCATGTTCTGGTGATCTTATTACATTATACTAGTATGTTGATGATATTTTTATCGGCAACATACAAAGATTAGAATCTTGACAAGGAGGATAGCAAACCATTTTGCAAATTGAGGTTTTTCTATACAGCTTGCTGTGTTCCAGCACAAAGGGAATAAAGACGAGAAAAGTAATTGAAAGAAAACAGACAAAGCAACTTTTAAAGCAACCATTTTTAGACCTCAAACTATAACCATTGTTTATCTAAATGTTTAAGACTAACGTGGGCACCACAAGTAAAGCTTCTATTGCAGAAATCTTTTAAGTCAAGTATACACATGCCATTAAAATGCTTCGACCAGCTTTTCAATGCAAATGGAAGGCAGATGCTCTAACTCGTCATCTGTTTGCAGAAACTTTGTCTGTCATGATAATCAAAAGCTTTGGCGCAAACTTTCAAAAGCGGTTTCGTCTTGAATTTTTCTCGAGTAGAGTGATCAACCATAGAATCCGCATTCAAAAGCCAGATCGGATTGGAATGAATGCAATGTTTTCTTATGCACATAAATAAGATTTACCCAATATTAATCTTTAAATCTGTTATCGTATTGATTTTCTTCCATCACCTGCAAATAGAGAAAAACATTTTGTACAGTCGAAATTATGTATTTTGCAAAATGTGTTTGCATAGTTAAGCAAACTTAAACTATTTGATTACAGGAAGACGTAATGATGCGAATGTTTTCTAGTAATCTTAAGCAAAAGATTGAGTCGTATTCAGATTAACTGAACATGCATGGAAATAATGACAATGTTCAATTTGAGGCGAATCTATGATATACTTGTGATGAAAAGGGTCTAGAATAATCCGAATTTGACTTTGTGTTAGTTCTTTGTTCCACTGGTAGCATAATTTGAACCATCTTTGCTCTGACATTTCATATATGCTAAAATGTTGCTTTCCACAGTCCAACTTCAGGATGTCTTTTAACGTGTGAGGGAGAAACTATACCAACATAAAGTATATATACTCAAGGCCAATAAAACATCAGAGCACTGCTACCAGTATATGTGCACTGCTACAATGAGCACAAAGCTCCATAATCGTGCTATCGGTGACAAAAAACAAAGGCCCAGGGAGACCAAGAAGGCGTACCTTGTCACATAATAAACATGATTACCTTAATCGCATTTTATCAAGCTTTGTATAGGTTCTTTGTTCTATTGGTAATATATCTGGAACCCTTCTTGCTCAGTCATTTCATATTCTAATAGTTTTGCCGTGTCTTTGCAAAATTTTCTCTTAACTTATTAATGAACAAGAATTTATACAGAATATGGAGATTACTTGAACAGAGTTTCAAAGCCATTGCTACTAAGATGGCATTAAAACTTGAAACTGAAGCCAACAGATTGGTAAATTTCCAGAAAGATTAAAAGATTCACACCAAAAGCTATCTTGAAGTTAAGCTGGAAGCTCCTCATTGATTTTCAGAACATTTTTCAAAATAAGTCTTTTATATAACCTAACGTGACTTGTAGCGCAACACTGCCGGTGGCATCCTAGTTTCCATCCACAGCTGCCTTGCTTAAGGTGCCACCAGCAATGAATGGTTAGATGGAAACATTTGCCATCTGCCACAAAGTTTATATAGGAGGCAGTATTGACTGTACATTATGAGATCCCTGATATTCTAAGACCCCAGTACATTCCATTAACAGATGATAATTAAGCTTTCGCGTGAAATTAACTTATAATGTGCTAAAAATGATCCAAAAAATGCAATAATTTTTTCGAGCTAAAATTTCATCTTCACGCTGAAGCAATTGCCATCTAACCATCTAAGATGTCAGTGCATTTTTGAAAGTATATTTTGAAGTTGAACCTGAATTCAATGTCTATAATGCTGAACATTAAGGAAAACAAGGCTTGATTGATGCTCGTAGGTCCAATTTTGGCCACATAATCGAACTTACGAGCAAGATCCCAAAACAGAAAAAGACTGGACTTTCTTCTTGATTGACAATAAAAAAATACGCTAAGGCTAATTCATTCAAGATGCAATAGATTGCAGATGGTATTCTAGATAGGTAGGTTGATAAAGCTATTAGAAGCACCGACTTTTTGAAGAGACGGGGGAAGGTTTGATGATGTTATCGAGATCACATTATTTGAGATGCCATGGATATCATACGAATCTATATCTAGCCGACGCATAAGATCGTACAAAGGCCTTCGCAATATAGAGCTTGCACGCATCTGTTGACAACCTTTTGATAATTGCAAAAGGTATCATGTCCTTTACTCTTATGAGTCGAGAAACAGGCGTTCATTTGCTTCATTTACACAAAATGGATTCGTTCTCTGTTTGCTAGACTTCTTTGCAAAGGGAGAGAAAATGTTTCCAGATCTTTCCACCAGCCCGTCATTCCACCATTGAAAGTTCACTATAAGCAAACCTTCTTCGGTCTCAGCCAATGGCATATTCAGAATAAATTCCTAAATCTCGGTCAGCCGTCTTGATTCAATTACACACACAAACGCAAAGGCGCTACAGTGATGTCGGAACGAAATTTATATTCGGGGTGGGGCTACCAATTGTATTGCTTCTCATTCAGTACACTGTTTTAAAGGAAATATACCACAGTTTCACAATTATTATGCTACAATTATAAAGAAAACATACTACAGCTCCAGCCACAAACTCCCCGCTTCCGACGGCTCTGTTCTATGTTGCGCAGGGCTTGATAGCGTTCTTTTTGCCGCTCCCTAGGGGAGAAAAACGTTTATCTCGCACGGTGACTTTCACCCTATGCCACTTCAGGACAATGGCATTGCTTTTCTAAAAGATGGAAGCGAAATTATTAACCAAATAACCAATTAAAACTGTGCCTGCACTGTCTTTCAGGTTGACAATAAGGTTTAAATATGTTAGGGTTGCTGTTGATGTTTATATTTTGAGACAATGCATCTTTTTCCAAGGGAGATTTTCATTTTGATCAACTTACGGTTAAGTAATCTTCAAATGTTATGCAATCTCATCCACCCTTAGGAAAGTATTAAAAAAGCCCTTACACATGGGTAAATTTTTTTTGAGAATGTATCGCATTGAGATTTCTTGAGCACACTATAGGTGTTAGAATAGAGCAGCGAAACAAAGTGTGAACGCAAGCAATTTAATCATTGTTTTGTACTTGCAACTAAAACAATTGAAAAGTCAAGGAGTTTTCTTGAAAAGAACCATGAAAAGAGACTGCCACATGTAGATTAGATTGTAAGCTGTGCGGGGTTTGATAAGATATTCCAGCAGAATTTAAGATATAAACGTATTTTGTTTAGGCTTTAACGAAGCGAGTCATTTTATCATGTGATGATCTAATTGACTATTTTTGCCACCGACTTCTTATGCAATATCCTTGCAGGCTGCAAATTATTTGCCGTTGTCATATGACTATTTATCTTAACTTTTTTGGACATCTGCTCGCTCCGTTGCTTTTCAAAATTGCACCGACATTCAACTGCAACCCAAAAGCTAGAAATGTCATTTCAAAATTGTTATGATCCGAATCTGCAGCTCTGTTTTAAGCACAGATTATTTTATTTGATTGAAAGCAACAATCTCAAAATTTATTAGCTACTCATACGTTAATACTTCTCAGTTATCAGGCGATGCAGAGAAGAATCTATTGAATTTTATTCTTTTATAGGGTTAGGTGCGGTGTTTCTACCTTGACAGTAGGAATTCACGTGTTTTGTTAATTGGCGTCAAGAAACGTTCGATAACCGAACCAGTTTTTACAGACAAAGAAAGAAAGTCGATTAAGAACCCATTAGGTTAGGCTTCATCTATGTACAAATATGGTATTGAAAGCTCCCACAGTTTTCTTTGGAAAGCTGCCTAAAACACTCTTCATATTTCAATCAGTGGTATTTTGTGATCAATAACGTTTTTTTATTGTTATTTCGAGACCATGCTGCAATTGATCACACAGATATTTATATCATGGTTAACAATATTTTGAAAACATTACTATCATAAATTTTAACTGACTTGAACAATTTAGCAGCAGGTGAGTTTTATATATCAAAATAGCTATTAGCCCAGACCTTTTGTGCATAATGAAAAGATGTTTTAAAACAGTACTTCGACAGTACTTTAAATTGTACACAGAGTACAGTCCAACTTTGATAATTCGGCAACAGCTGAGTTTTCAACTTTAGTTACTTTATCTTTTGTTCGATTATCTTGAGAATGATCATTAATCATCTTTGTTTGCAACTTAGATTTATAAAAACAGAAAATGGATTGGTGCCAGCATTGTGACTTTTATCATAATACACACCAATTCGAATTTTCTCACCTATGAACTCTTTAAAGATACCTTATAAATGACTTTCCTTACATTTTAGAGTGAAAAAGGACAAGCTATAACGTCAAAGCTCATTCTTCGTCAGGTAGCATATAACATTTTTTAACCGATAGCTCTTCGTCAGGTAGCATATAACATATTTCATGTAGATTGGATATATTGCTGGCAATTGCGACAAACGTTCGATAACCTCATGCATTTCTTACTAAAATACAATATTGGAATAACCTCGTTTGAGCAACTGATAGCTTATCGTAAAAGTATGCCTTAGTTTCTTCAATCACCCTATAGGTTATTTATATCGGATATTTTTAACACAAATTTGACTTGCAATGATGAAAACATCTTTCAGGAATGGAGCAACCCAACCCTTCGCTGGAAGCCAAGTGAATTTGGGAACGTATCAGAAATTCTTATTGGCAAAGAAAAGATTTGGACTCCACAAGTTCATCTTTTCAATGGGTGAGCTAAATATAACATGATCAGCACGAAAGTGTAAGAAAGTCATTTAAGAGGATTGCTTTAATGTGATTTCCTGTATCTTGCCTTGGCTAAAAAACAACGTCAGAGACCCAGTATCAATAAGGAATCATAGAAGAAGGAAGTCTAAGCTCTGATAAAATCCACTTTGAGATATTAAGACAAATATCAGATTGTCTCCGTATTAGTCGGGAAAGCATTTTCCAATTATTGGACAAAATCCACTCCCAGCAACAGGAATCATTGGCATCAAAACCAACAAACTTGAATACTGCAGCCTGTTGGCAAAATCACATTTACCAGAAAACTAAAATGGCGAAATGTTTCGGGTTATCGGTATTGTCCGATCATCGTCTCATTAGGCCTGGTTCCCATAAAATCGTAAGATGGTCGGCGACTGTACCAACAGATATTTTTCAAACATAATATTACTCTTCCCTTAAAGGGCAATAAAGAACAAAATTGACAAAGATGCGATCAAAATCCTCGAAAGCTTGATGGTGACTGTCAGTAGCGATGGCAACTGCACGATGACGTATGCTGACTTCTACAAGAGCACTTGCGAGATTGACGTCACCTACTTTCCGTTTGATCAGCAACATTGCGATCTTGAGTTTGGGTCTTGGAATTTCGACGAAAGGTATTTAAGACTCAAAGTTAGAGATCCAGATGCGCTCGGAGACAAGTCTGAGTACAAAAATAATGGAGAATGGGAGATCGCGAAGGCCATTTTATATGAACATAAGGTATTGATTGTGTTCTCATATCTTCGTCAAAGTTTATGGTTCTGTGGTAGTTGATACTAGAAATCTTCAAGTCGAATATATAAAATATTTTACAATCTTCTAAATAGAAAATGAGCTACTAGTATGTGTCGAATTTCAGACAAGTCGCCCTTAAATAATGAATCAAATCAATAATGTTCCAGGGGGTTAATTCGAGGTTATTTCTTTTTACAATAAGGCTTGTATACCAAAATGGCCCATCGCCAAAATAATTACTATAGTTACAGGTTAATAAATTAATAAAAATCTCAGAATAAAGCAAACAGCTAATGCAAAGATAAACAACTGTAAAAAATTATAAGCTAAAAGGTTAACTTTACCTAGATGAGCACAGAGAGGATTGGTGTAGTGCTACAAAAATAACAAGGGGGAATCTTGCACAAAGTGTTGCGAAAAACAATAGCAAAAGTATAAATTTTTCAGTTTTCGGCATTAACAAGGGGTCTCAGCCCCCTGACATAGAGGACTTCCCAAACGATTCCCGTGATTCAAAAGCCAGCGATATAAAATTAGCTATTTATATCAGACAATCTATATTTTCTTGACTCAAAAACCAGATAAACTCAAAAATCACAAAGATCAAGGGATGAGATTCTGGAAAATTTTGAATAAATCATAGATTACAAAGAATTCCTACCAGCCTCGTACAAACTAATAGAACATGAATTTTTTCATCCACAGCAGTTTCATCAAAAGATTGACAATATGGACATTTTCTATCAGTCCTAAAAATAGGATTCTTCTTGTATCTACCTGTTTCAATCCTGTGGTTTTGAGCACTGAGACGTTGTTTTGCAAAGCTGGATCTTTTCTTTTTGCTAGGTATCAAGTCTAAGTAATGCTCAAACTTATAAACGGTTTTGAAAGTTGCATATGTACAAGGCGACTCGAACAAGAGCGTCATCTGCGGAGTGATGACGTCACGAAAATCCATTTTCGTATTTTTAGAATTCTTACTTCATACCCTGAAGAACATTACAAAATAAGTCTAAATATGCAAAATCCGTTTGACCTGTTGCAAATCCACTGGGATATTGCCACAGAAGCACGGGCTCTTTGTTCATCAAATCACTGGTAAAAAAACATCTAGATATTAACCAGGCTAAAACAACAGAAACCCATTAGAAAATTCAACTGACCACATTTCAGTCAATTTTTAAACGATTCCATTGATTTTGTCTATATAGCGGTATTTCATGGTGAATTTTCAAATTTCAAAAATTTAAAGGTTTTTGATGACGTCGCAATTTACCCCTCTATGACATGGCAATGATTATGAAGACTTTGACCCTCGTGCATGAGAACCAGATAGCCATGGCTAGGCCTATCTATTCGCAACTTACCTTCCATTTGCTTCCATGCCCAGTTAGCTCAGTCGGTAGAGCATCAGGCTTTTAACCTGAGGGTCGCGGGTTCGAGTCCCTCACTGGGCGCTTTATTTGCGGACAATTATAAACAGGCACATCCTTTTAATTTCCTCCACAGGGACACGCATAGGTATACACTACAAGCTTTTTATAAAACAACCCTCAAAATACAGGCACCGCGGAGCGTTGAGAGAGTGGGGGCTAAAATAGTTGGAGGGGGGCTAAAACCGAATAAAAAATGGTTTGACTGGTAAATTTATTGCATTTTGGGCAAAAAGTTGTGGGCTATCGCCCCCACAGCCCCCTTCTCCGCGGCGCCTGTAAGAAACATCAGGCTGAGATTTGTCCAAAAATAAGAACAACATAAGGAAGGCTGAAATCCAGCCTTCGAAAAATTATTGAAAAAATCGAAAAATTAAAGAGTAGCAACAGAGCAACAGAAAGCGACGAGAAAAAAGCATTGAAACAACAATTGAATAGATTTATTAGAACAAGAACGGAAATTCGATTACAAATAAATAAAAGAATTAGAAACACGAGAGGCTGAAATTATGTGTAAAAAGTAAGAAACGTGAAGCTGAAACTGGAGCCAATTGTTCCTACAAAAAATTGTGTAGCCAAGGTTAAAACAAAAGAGGGTTAAAATGTATCCGCTTCTAATACGAGTCAATGGAAACGCCAGTTTAATTTCAACTCGTTTTTATCCGATTTTGATCGTTTCTACAAGGATTGTGCAAAGACAGTAGCGGTTTTAGGTACTGTGGGGCCCGGGGCCAAAGGTTGCTGCGGGGCCCACGCGGTGCCTGGGGCCTTGGCCCCTTAGACCCCACTTAAAACCGCCACTGTGCGAAGAGTAAAGAAAACATTTGGAAAAGGAAATACCAACCTAAAATGAAAGACCCAGCAAGCTTATGAAATGAAGTGATTTCGGAGACTGCCCCCTATAATTCATTGCACATTCTTGTTTTATTACCTGCTTTTCTTTTTATAAAACAATTTATATGAACATGAGCCTCAAAATTGACCAAAAGTTAAGAACAAATTAAGAACAGGCTAAGGCTGAGCTTTTGCAAAATGGAATTTCGAACAACGTTTTACAAGGATTTTTCAACGTTTCCAAAAACAAGGATTTTTAGCCATGTGTTGGTGCTTGTTCGGTGCCATGTGACATGAGCATTTTTAGCCACGTGTTGGTGCAAAATCGTTATAAAAATCGTTTAGTAAAAAATCGAAAGTGTCGACTGGTAACGATAATGACGCTGAAAATGACAGAGGTGACGATTAAAACAAGTTTTTTGTCGCTACAGTTTCTTGTCATTGTTTTGATGATAATTGCTTTATGTAATTATGATTAAACTCTATTCGAATTATAAAACATGTTTCAATTCCAGGTGAAATTTCGGTTGAATGATCGTCAACATCGCATAGTGGTATTGCAATTACACGTGAAAAGGAAGTACTTCTTTTACATGATGAATCTTGTCATTCCGTGTGCCCTTATTGCCTGCATGATTTTCTTGGTTTTTTTACTTCCACCAAAATCAGGGGAGCGAATCAGTTTAGGAATAACAGTGCTTCTTTCGATGGCAATATTTCAGGAATTGTCGTCAGAGAAGCTCCCAAGCAGTTCAGATACGTTTCCTCTGTTAGGTACGTCTGCCTCGATTTTCTTCAAATGCAATTTGCAATAGATTACCGTGTTGGCATGAGAACTCAGGTGCCCAGACAAACCCTAAAACCTATAATCATATAATCAGATTCCTTAATCCTTCCAGAGTCCAATTAAGCTCATCTGAATTATCATCTAAGGTAAATCAAGAGGTCGAAATTTTATATTGAAGTAATTTTTCACCATTATTAGAAATTTTTCACCCCAAAAGTAACTTTGCCAACAATATGTTAAAATACTATTCCTATCTATCCGGTAATATTTTGCACAAGACAGCCTCTTCCGAAGCATAATTATAAAAAGTGCTTTGTGAGAATTCTTCTATGAAATAACAAGAACAAAGGAAATCTGTATAGAATGCGCTCCCAGTAGTTTTAGCTGGCTTACACAACGAGAATATGCAAATTAAAACTAACTTCCACTGCGCAAGTAGCCTAAAGGCTGCAAACAAGCAAGGTTTTTCTATCTTATCACAATAAATACCAGTGAAGACAAGATAGCCTGCAAGTTTAAAGTAACAAATGCGCTGCAGATAAAACAGATAAAGAATATACATTATATTCCTTCACGTTAATCACTGGGTGAGGCATTTTTAAATACATTCTTCATACGCAATTCAAATGCTTGTACAATGCAGACTACACCTGCTTGTTTTATAAAATCGTGCAGCTGAAACTTTGCTTGAGATTTTAGCATTGATACTGTTGAGAATATTATGGAGCTGCATTGCTCCGTCTTTACCCCAACATTGGCTCTTCAATAACTCGAGCATTGGCTCCTGAATACACCAAATCAACCAACGACCTCGTTTTGGGAATAACTCTAGACCTCATTGAACGATCTTTCTCGCTCTGATTATAAGTTCTCGTCATACTTTGTAGTGACTGTCCATGTATGGTAGATTTAATGATATTTTAACCTTGAACACTTGTGATAGATTTGACTGCAAATATCACCCCATGTGACACTTTTAAGCCTCCGTTGCAAAACACGGTCAAATGCTTTAAAAACGTCCAAACTTTGTGTCATCATAAATCGATATCATGAGCAATACTATCCGAATTTTTAAAATGCAGAATAAAATTCTAGTCTTTAATCCAAATCTGAAATAAAAAATTTAGTGCAAAGAAATTTGAAGCACATTCAAAACGAGGCTGCAAGTTGGATTGGCGACTATAAGCAATGGCCATTTGGATCCAAAATGAACTATTACCATATCTCTATGACTATAACTGACTTACTGTCTTAAATGGGTAACACTCCTTGGGTCTTTGCCTTTTCCTTTTGGTGCGATCTTTGCCTTTACGCTCAACAGCGGGTACTGGTATTAAAAGTCTTCACAAAAATTTGATCTGCCCGACTTTTTTGGGTTTTCCACATTTTCTCTTCCCTGTAAACACGTAAGACGCATGCCTTTCTTGAAATTGAAATGCTTGTAAAGTGCAGACTACATCGAAAGCTCTCTTTAGGTTTTAGTATTGCTACAGTCGAAAATATCCGTTTAACTTTAAAGATGGCCAATTTAATGTGTACGAAGTTTCGACACAGTTTAGCTTCATAGATATTAATCTTCCAGTTACAAAAATCTGCTAGCGAATAGTACTAAGCTCTAAACCACCCTTTACTCATCTTCTCAGTTAAAATTTTTCCTTCAAGAGGGTTGCCTCTACACCAGCTAACTTACCTGGTCCTTATGCATCGAAACATGGTAATCTATTGCAGTATTCGTGAAAATTGAACACATTTGTTTGGTAATTTATGTGCTCCTGAACAGCATTATTTTTAATCATGGTGATTCAGGCTTGATACTTGCTTGCTAGTGCAAAGAAACTTCACTTTCGAAATTTTTTCACTGCTATTTCATTTTGCTGCTGTGTTGTTTTAACTAAAGTTTAATCTGCTTTGTTTCATAAATGTAGCTAGCAAATCATACTTTTCGCAACAACTGGAGTTAGTCGATTTGCTATTCATTGCCGAAGCAAGAAAAAAATATTTCTACGAAAATAAAGTGCAAATAAAATATTGAAAAAGTGCAAGTCAATTTGACACAATTAGTCAAAAGTTCATTTCAATCTAAAAGCTTTTAAGTCATATGTTGTCAGCTTGGAGAATATAGTTCTTTAACATTTATGACAATCGTCAAGTAATAAAACGTGCAACATTGCTAGAAGCGGCCTAAAACCTTTTAAATCTCGAAAGTAAAGTATTAAAACGCACAATTCATTCAAGTATCTAGTCCAGAAATCCGTGTTTAAAGATATGTTGCACGCTAAATAGGGTACCAAACAAATTGTAGAAACAGCAATGAAAACCAAACCAAATTAATGCTTAGTAATTCCCTAAATTTTTGTTCACTTTCAATATTGCAGTTGTTTAAAGTATTAAAAGGGTAGCTTTAACGCAACATTGAAAAGCTTGCTTTCTTTATCTCTTATTTCCTTATTTGCTTATTTTCTGTTCCTCTCTTTTTCAAACTGCCCAGCCTGATGTTTTTATGCTGATTCTCTTTGTTTAAATTCTCTTCTTTATGTTCAATTCTTTCATAAACTGATATAAATTTGTTTCTCCAACAAAACTTCAATAAGCTTTTGTCTAAAAATTATGCGAATTATTCCTAGTCCTATGTTTTTAAACTAGATTTATGTGTTCTACGTTCTCTTATAGGTATTTATTACACGGTATCAATATTTGAAATTGGTATGGCAATGGCGCTTAATTGCCTTGTGTTGAATTTCTATCATCGCAACCAACGAATGTCGCCTTTGGTTAGGAAAATCTTACTAGGCCGGTTGGCGACGCTTCTGCGTGTTGAAATTACCCCAAGAAAGCATAGCAAAGACATGCCCAAAGAAGAATCGTTTTCAGAGTTTGATTCGTCTTTTGCAAAAGCCAAAGGCCCCAGTTCTATCAATTTAGGAACAATTTCACACATGGCAAATGAAAATAACACTGAGGTGACACTGTCTCGAATGGGATCAATGAGAGGCTCCTTGAGAGAGAGGAAGAGTCATGATAGCGATATGGAGGAGGGTAATGGAAGATCCAAATCCCCCCTGATTTCAAGGAAGGCCATAAAAGGTTTGAACGATGGAGGAGCAATTGGAAACGGTGTGGTTAATAAAGATGCTGTTGAATCAAATAAAAACGGAGAGGAGTGGAGGGACGCCGCGAAGGTGCTAGATCGTCTTCTTCTTGCGATTTCAATAGTAATTGGTGTTGTTTCTGCGTCAGCAATATTTATGCAATCTGAAAGGTTTCGGGATATGGTTCTCTTTCGTGACAGTCCCTAGCATTGGTTGATGAATGCTGCGAGCTTGTCAAAGCAGTTCTCAGAATCTTACCGTCTCCAACCATGCTTTAACCACAATTTTTTATTTAACCCCGCTTGAATTCTAAACGCAATAAAAATGTATGACTTTGGCTTGAGTTTGGTGAAATCAGCAGTCTAGTCATGGTTCTTGTTGGATGTCCCTTGATTGGAGATGTTGCTTTGCAACTGATTTTTAAAGAAACACAAAGATTTTTGTCTTTGTAATTGTCACAAATGCTGTGGACCGGATTTGGTAGATGCTCTGTAATGACAGAGTGGGTTGAGTAAGGCCATTGCCTTTGAACTAGGCTTGTTGACTACGTTGTCAAAGGAGAAGATTATCAAAAAATTACAGCTGGAAGCTTTGCTACTTTTGAGACTACTTTTGTTCAATGAGCATTGTAGTACTTGGATGTCCTTATCTCTTGACAAGTGTCACACTGAAGCTTGATTTACAAGTTAAAAGATGATGTAATATGTTAAGAAATTAACTTTTTATGATATGTCTCAACAGCATCTATAGCGAGATATTTCTCAGGTGCTTTTTGTTCGACTTGTAATAAATGAATCTAGAATTTTGTTTACTAATTATAAAAGCAATAGATGTCTATCTATTTCCAACCTCAAGACATGGTAAATTTCAAAATCAAATAATTTTTTAATATTTCTATTGAGTATCAATAGCAATATTTGCTCAATAAAACTTATCAGCCTCGAACGTAAGTAGTGTGGTGTACTGACCTCCCTTCAGTGCTCCATAACTCACCATCTTTAGCCAGCCTAATGCACTCCAAAATCGTTCTGCCTGTCCATCTTTTTATGTCATTTATCCAATTCTTTCTTGGTTGACCTTGCATTCTCGATCCTTCCACATTCCCATGCATTATGGTCAGGGGCGTCGTGGCGAATGAATTCTGAGGAGGCCAGAAAGAACAATTTTCCAACGAAATTTCTTTGACTTAATTGAAATAGAAGCATTTCATGTAAGTGTAAAGGGGGGTGGGGCGGAAAAACTCATAACTTTTGCCTTAGCTGGAAAGAAAATTGAAAATGAACTTTTTAACTTGTCTCTGTTTCTTCATACTTACAGTGAATGTCCCTGACATCCGTAGATTAGGACAAGGATAGAATGAACTTACTACCTGAGGCGGCACCATGGTTGCCGCCGAAGGGAAACATTTTTTATGATCTAATGATTCAAATTCGTCGGAAATCGCATTATTTGAAACAAATTTTAATCATAATATCTTATTCTTAAATTGAATATCCACTGGGGAATATCGATGGTTTCGATCGACATCTACCTTGTTTTACCTTACGCAACATAACTGCATAAATTTTCAAATCTGGGACACAATATTAAATAATCTGGTGATACTCACAAAATTCGTACTGTCCCGGTTTTCAATATCTAATAAAGATATAATTTCTACCGATTTTGACCAAATTCCATAACCAAATTTGGCCCTTGAAGTTTCGGATTTTAACTGACAAAATCTGAACAGCAAATCACTCTATGGTAGGAATCGTTAAATCCTGAGAAATAATTTTGTTTTGTGGAAATCTAGTATTTTCTTTACAAAAGTGAATTGCCTCTCGAATTTACGGTAAGTACTTTAGTCCAAGTAATTTATGTTGCTAAGAGTTTGAGAAATACACACAGCTTAAGTTCCGACAAAATTTTCCGACAAAACTATGATTTTTCCGAAAATCTATCAAATTTTGAGAGCAGAGGGGCCATGCCCCCTGGCCCCCAGCCACGACGCCCCTGATAATGGTGTACGGCAGGGTCCCTGATCAGCGTGTCACATGTCCAAACCATAGCCGCATATTAAATGGGCCTGTATTGAGAGTTAGGCCAATGAAGGTTCCTTATCGTTTAAAGATACGCAGTAAGTAGCTTTTTTGACTCTTTGGGTGTAATTTCGGTTGCAAATGGATGTAATGAACACGAGTTTTGCTCATATCAAGGCTGATTGTTTGGTTTCATTTGAACGAATCTTTTCTATGCAAAAGCTTTTTCTATGTAAGGCTATACGTACAAACCTACCGATCAAAATCGTTTTCGATAATATTGACGAAAGCCTTATCAATAAGATGGCTTAAATTGGAAAGCCTTTAAAAAAAATATTGAAAATCCTGGTTATGAAAATCCTGATTTTTAAATAAGACTTTCTAAAGTCTTGTTTTTAAGGTTCAAATACGATTTTGGAATTCAACTCACTCATATGAACACCGAGGCTCGATTTGCAAGAAAGACATCTTAAGAACTTGACCAGCCTTAGATGAAGAATTGGAAGGAAAAAGCAATGAGTATTTGAAATTTTAATCCCAAGTTAACAAAATAGAACAGATTAGTTTATCTACCGTGCGGTAAAACATAAAATTTGCTGTATGTAATTGTAGAATCATCATTTTTGAAAGAAGACAATAGTCGAGCTCAAATTATCTAAAAAATTTGACCATCGAACCTCTTCAAAAAATACCTGGCTCGTTTCAAATATATGAAATATATGAAAACGAGTCTATGTTGGCATGTAAAGGTGAAACCGGAGGAATGAGATTCAATGATCATTTTACGTGTGTCATTATACTGAAAAATGTATTAAAAAATTCTAGCAATTCTTTTCAATGATTTTACTACTTAGATTGGTTCTGGCTCCTCTTCTAATTTCTTAGAATCGAATATAATTTCATCGCCAACTTTTTAATGTATAACTTTTTAATCTACGTAAAGCCTTATGTTCTCAAAACCCTTCCTTGAACCACGACATCTTGTGGTTCAAGTGCAGTCAAATTTATCAGAACTGATTAGGAAGGTTTAAACATAATTTCGAAAATTGTCAAGACCAACTTTTCGGAAATAAAGTCATGTTTATAAGCATCCTGTAGTTATAATTCAGATTTCAAATTAAAAGAAGTAAATCCAATCAATCGCGTTAGCTGAATTTAAAGTGCCTCCGGATAGTCCTGTAATTTCATTGTCTTAATTCCTGCTTGGATAATTGAAATAGTTTAAAGTTTGCTCTCTATTGATGCCGTTTCCGAAAATGCAGAAAGTGGTTTCCCAGGACGACAAAAATAACTCAATAAATATGATGATCGTCGCTGTACTGTTATAATTTGCTATTAAAATGTTATTTATAATCAACAATAAAGCATCAAATAAGAGAGTTTTGAGTTTAAAGTTCTTTTTCTTTGAAGTCATCCCAAAACATCATATTCCACGAGGGCTCTAAAAGAGATATAAATTACTTTTAAAAAAGCTACGCGATTAGACAAAGAACTACCTCTGGGTCAAAATGCAAACAGAAATGCTGGATAGTCCATAACATAGCCTTTTTGGACAAACATATTCATATTTTATGACTCTCAACTAAAAATACTTGTTTCTAGGACATATAAATTACATTAGGAACTGTTATTGATTGCAAATTACTTGGCAAAAAACTTCGATTTGTTTTAACCAGGTAATTGGATAAGTTTCTAATAATTTTATTTTGGTAGAAGTTCACCTGTCCTATTTCTATCCCATCCTGATTGACCTGGTATCTTACGCAAGGACCAAGATAAAACTTTTACTTTGGGTGGGGCAGCCCCGAAAAAGGCGTGCAACAATAGCCGTTTTAAAAAATATATGTCAATATTTTGCTCATGCTGCTAAATTGTTTCTGGGAATGACAAGGCCATTGGTCCCACGGGCCCCCTGGTCCCCCTGCCCCCTGCCCCCTGGCCCCCCTGGCCCCCTGTATTTCAGTCCTTGATATAACATGCTTGCGAAAGAAGACTGTCAAGACCAGGGCCATCGAGATCCTCATGAGATATCGAGATTCAATTTTCATGGACCTATTGTGTTGAAAAACGTGTCTCTGTGGTCCATATTTCGTCTTGTCAGCTCTGATTACGGCATACAAACTCAGGACCAGTAAAAAACCGGTTAAACAGAGTCAAGTCTGAATAAGCTGGGCTGTAGGCTGTACAAAGCAGTAAAAGAAAGAACTAAAAACAAATAAGGTAGTCTACCTACGTTTAGCTTGCAGCTTCAGCTGTGACGACCACTTTGATGAATCTCTCATCAATAGTCTTGCCACTTATCGAAGGGTTTTGTGCAACACATTTAAAGACAGCGGAGTCAGCGACCTGAGCATTCGTGATGGTCAGACGCCTAATAGCAACGTACTTGGAAGCTGATGGAAGTGCAATCACTGATGTCTTTCCTCGGAGGCTCCCTTTCAAAAGATGCATTATCAGTTACCACTTCGTAAACGGAAAGGTATTCAAAATTTTCATACATAAGGAGAGGCGTTATCAATAAAAATGCTAGCATTTGATCATCTGTTTAAAGGATAAGGATGCTAGTCAAGGATGCTAGTGAAAGTCACGTCAAAGGTGTTATTTTCCGGCAGCCATTTTCTTTTACTATGAATAACATAGGTTGTGACTGGCAAAAGCATTTGTTCATTGTCCAAAATCAATGATAGTCAAACAATCATCATAGAAAGCATTTATAAGCTGATCTAAGTGATCTATAACATCTTGACTTAAAGACCTAATTCCTTGAAATTCATGGAAAATATTACAAATGTGTAGGAGGGAATTTTTCTTTCTATTTCACCAAACAAACTGATTTAAATTTGCCTTTCTTGCCCTTTATAACATATATGTATATGTATTGTATAAGGCTGTTTAAATGTCTAGGACACAAGAGGTAGAAAGAAACATCTCCGGCACCTACAGTAAGATCTTAGAACATATTTCTAAAAATGGGGTGCACATGCCCCCCTGTATCTACTTTTGGAGTTCAGCGAATGTTTTATATTGTCAAGAGATTTGATTGTGAACTCCCTTTTGTGATCCTGTTTGAGTAAGCCGCATCAGTATAATTGATTATTCGATTAAACTCCTTTGGGATAGAATGCGTTTAGTTTCTCCAAATCCCACTAGAACCTTTCATTTACCATTCAATACCCTGGGTACCAGATAACCATTCAGTTACATGCCATACATAGAATTATTAAATTCAACACGGTTAAGAATTTGTCAAAAACACACCTGATGGTATGGCAGTGGCGTTTGTGATTTGGAGATGTGGTGCTGGGCTGCCAGTGGCTGAACACTCAATCGTTACGTTCTCTCCGATTTTGACAGCAGCTTCCTGTGATATTGGAACTATTTTGGTAATACGAGCAGGGACTGTGAGAAAGATAAGGAATTATCAATCTATCACTGAGGTATCGACAACCAAACAGTTTTATTTTAGTTACACCGTTACTGGGGCTGGTTTAACCTATACCTTAATTTTAGACAGTACTGTTCCTCAAAATCTTTAGGAAAACATGGTTCATTGTGATAACAACAATTTCCATTGCCTAGCTCATTATTTTGGTTGTAGCTCAAGTTAATAGTATTAAATATGGCATTTGTGGTTGTGTGTCAAAATCGCAATAATCCCCCTCCCCCAATAGGCGTTGTAAATAATTATCAAAACTGGTCTTAAAACAATACAAACGTAAAACAATATATTTTTCCTTGTAGTTTTTTGTATGCCTAGCCCCTCTCAATACATTAAGTCCCCAAATCCATAATATGTTCGCTTCTATAAAATAATCGTATTCAAATAAATTGAATTCAACAAACCGTGGCAATCTGCTTCATTAGAAGAACCTTCTCCTGGGGTTTCACCTCCCTCTGGGCAAATCTTACAGTATGTTGCACCATCAAAATCTTGGAATGAGCCAATTGGACATTTCTTACAGCCAGAAAGTGGAGTGAGACCATCCTTGGAGTAACTTCCTTTGTCGCATTGAGCTGAGATAAAGATCAGTTGCAATTTTTAGCAATATAAAAGTTTTCTCAGCAGGTCCGGGTAGGGTTCTCAGGCACTGCGGAGCGTTGAGAAATTAGGGGGTCTAAAAGGTGTGTGGGGGGCTAAAGCCGAATAAAAGGTGACCTGTCTGGTGATTTATTGGTAACCTTTTGCATTATTGGCAAAAAGTGAGGGAGGCGGGGCTTTATCCCCTTTCTCCGCGGTGCTTGGTTCTGCTTGCAGCACATTAATCTTACCCAAGTCAAGTTAGTATAGCTTTGACATCAAAGGTCACAGCACAGTGCTACGTCCGCACAAACCCTAATATACGATAAGATTGCCGATAAAGGGTTATAGGAATATGAAAGCCAAGATACTAATCTGCAAAAAAGGAGCTACAGAGGGTCAATGGGTATAACTGTGACAAATTCGCATTCAAAACTCAAGTAACCAAATATGCTGAAATTCTTTTAACTTTCACACCTATGCAAGTCAAATAGAATTTAAACTTGATTGTAGAAGACCAGGATTTATTTCCGTTAACTCTCTCTAGAAATATCAGCCATCTGATTCTTTCTTCCTATTCCTTGTAGCAAGTTCAATCAAAATTTTAAACTAATTAACAATACAGAATTAAACATATTTATAGAAATAGCTGTTTTGCCGGTCTGTTATATAACTGTGCTCATTACCGGATAGGCAAGACTGTTCACATGCTTAATTAAATAAATCTATAATGAATATTGTATTGTGGAAATTATACTGAATCAATAAATAAATGAATCAATAAATGAATGAATCAATAAATGAATGAATCAATAAATGAAGGAAAGTTTAAATGTCAATAGATGATAATACTAAAGCAAATTTTGTAGACTGTTATAGGAACAAGTATCAAATGAATTTTTAGCGTTGCCTACGATAGTTGCAAATTCAACAAATGAGCAGATTTCAAACATGGAAGCAGTAGCCAATCGTTCCCTTGGCTTTGTTTATCGTTCTCTGCACAGCGCTTGGCGTTCTTCTGACGACGTTTTCAATATTCCAGTATAAACAGGCAATTGAAAGCACTCTAGTTAGCTGCAATACATGATTATATTGTACAAGGATTACCTTTGCACTGTGATAAGGCATATGATCCTTGGAAGATGGTTGTTGATCCTTGTGGACATTTTTTGCATACTGTTTTTCCTTCTTCGTCTTGATAATAACCAAGCGGGCAGTTCTGGCAACGGGCTTGTGTTTGGTTGTTGTATTTCCCTAGTGGGCAGTTGGCTGTGAGAGAATAGAGACCTCGTGAATTTTGGAAATCGAATTAATATGATTCAAGTGTAACCACAGGAGTATAAACCAGAGGAGGGATCACTGCCTTTCTTGCTCCATTTTTTTAAAAAAAAAGTCAAAACATTTCGGCGAATTGATGCCATCTTTATTTCAGAAAGACAACGCAGATGCAACATGTTTGTGACATATCTAATGCATCTTTTTACCACCTAGGCACAGCTAATAAAAATAGGTATAGCAGTAGGTTTACAGACAAAAAACAACACATATAATAACTAATACTTTTGTCATAATCACGATGTTGCCACCAGAAACTTTCTGCAAACCCAAATTTAGCATAACAGAAAGTGCAGCCAAAAGGCAGCTTCAAGCTTTAAATGTTACCACACAAATACAATAAACAGCTTTCTTGGAATGTTTGGCGTCTGTGATCAATAACAGAAATTAGAAGAAAGAAATTGGCAAGAATTCTATTGATGCATATGGGTTTTAATGCTTAAGCATACTTATTAAAGGAAAGCATACCACAGATAGCTGATTGGCCATGCTGCACGTCTTGCGTTCCTGCTGGACAGTCACCTTGCTTGGCAGTAGAACCTAAAGCAATTCAAGGTATTACAGTGAACAAAATGGATTTGATGTAATTCCAATCACTTTTTTGCAGTAAATCATATTAAAAGGTACTGCAGGGAAAAAAGGAATTAACCTTAAACCCAGTCACCTTGCCTGGCAGTCGAACCTATATCATTGAAAGGTATTACAGTGAACAAGACGAAGTAACTGTAAGTCAATACTTATGCAGCACATACAATTGACCTGTATGCTTATAATCTTATTGCATCAACTTCTATTAAAATATGGGCCATTGTTTCATTTATTAATATGTTTCTTTTTAACAATACACATGTCTGTTTGTTGCCAAAGGAGTAATTACAATTAGACAATATGCTAAAGCAACTGCAAACTGTTGAAATTAATCATCGAAAACAAAGCAACAATCTTTGCCAAGCTACCAACACAGCTTGGAATTTCCTGGGGAGTCCATTTGCCATTGGCACAGTCAACTATGGTGAACACTCCTTGATAATCTGTATTGTCAGAGAATACGTTTCCAGCACCACAGGAAAGGAAGAACCTTCCCATCATATCCAAAACTTGGGGAATATTGTGACCTCCAGGCATTGTATTTTGGTGGCAGTATTTTGCTGAAAGAAGGTAAATTCTGATCAAGACAACTGTATATTTCTTCTTAAAGAAGCTGAAATTTTATCATGGATTTTATTAAACGATGATATCTGATGCTTTTATACTATAATATAGAACAGAGGGCAATTAATTATTATTAATGACTTATTAATGCTCTCTCTTTGGCGTTTTAACTATACGAGGAGTTGGCTGTCACTGGTTGTTAAAAGGCAACCAATATTAGCCAATCAATTCAATATAATTCTTCAATATAATACCTGTGACGTGTACAAAGAATTTGCAGCTAGCTGTATTTCCTGCATCATCTCTGGCCTTGTATGCAACAAAATAGATCTGTGCTCTTCGAACAACTCCATTAGGAATCGATGGTTGGGGTTTTGTGCTGATTCCAGCATTATCTGTGAATGTGGGTTCTTTCCAAGTGACAACAGCTTCTTGAGAATCAATATTTATATACTGGTTTTCCGCGTCACAGTTGTGAACTTTTGGAGGCTCCTTATCTGTAAATAAATTTAGATACTTTGATTCTTCTGTCTCATAGGGAGGAAACATTTTTGAATTGGTTGGATGTACATTACTAATTTTTTCATTATGCTTTAAAGCAATTTCATACCAATAACTTGCACTGTGAAGGTGCATTCAGTTGCATCGCCTAATTCGTTTGAAGCTCTCAGCTTCACTGAATGGTAACCCGGTTTGAAATCATGTGAGCCATCTATAACTCCCGATGGAAACGATTTTAGATACTTGGCCTCAACATTGGTGTTGATTTTTCCCACGTTTATTTTCATTATTCCTTCACCAAGTGGAAGTGTTGCCGTGATATCTGATGGGCATGTGATCTTTGGCCCTGAAAATAGTCAAAAGAGATTTTATTTATTAAATAGTTAAACGTTGATAAATTAGAGAATGCAGCAACTGTCCAATGTTCAATACTCTTCCAAATATTAAAAAATTGAATACTTGATATATTGAAAAATAAACTAAAATCTCTGGAAGTGGCGAAAAGAGAGACTTGTGAGGTGTTAAAGAGTGTGTCAAAAATTTCCCATTAGAAATTCAATTCTCGAAAGCACTATTTTAATATTTACGCACTTGGTACACATTTAGTTGAAGAGAAATCGTTGTCATATAATCCAGTTTTCAAGCATGTAACAGTCGTCAATCCGGATCTTGTGTATCCACCATTGCAAGCCACGTGACATTTGTTTCCAAATTCAACGCCTTTAGTCATGCAGTCACTTGGGTACACGTAGCCATTAGGAATGGATGACATTTTTGGACATCTTGTTTCTAAAAGGAAAAATGCGCTGATTACAAAATGAAATTTAATATTGTATTTGCTGTTTTTTTAATGTTTTTTTCCTAACGCCTACATTAGAATATTTGGAGTAAAATCCAATTAAGATGGATAATAGTAATAATTTCTTTGGATTTACTAGTGCAAGAAAAAAAGGCGTTTTTTGATCAATGCGATGTAAGATTGATACATCCATAAAATGGTAAAAAAGAAACTTTTTGCTAAGATGGTTGCTAAAATTTCAAATTTTGGAAAGGTTTAGATTTTGAACGAGGTGCTTTTCAAACAACAGTGCCCCTTTGTCATTATATCAGTCGTAAGCTTTCATCGTTGAGAGTTTCCCCCAAGATATCGAAAAAGCCGTTTAACGTCTTTAAGCTCTTACTTTGACAAACTGGCGATGTTTTTCCAAAAGGCAGTTTAAAGTAGCCATCATTGTCACAGTAAACATAACTTGCTGCCGTGCTGGGTAGTTTGTATCCTGCATTGCAGCTGTATCTGCATACGTCTGTGTATTTATTACTGTCGTAGTTGAGACATCTAGATGGCTCAACAGCACCATTGTTTAGTGTACTGGCTGGAGACCTGCAGAGCATTGCTATGGCGAAACAAAACGCACATGTATAAGATAATCAGTGAGACAGCATTGTTAAGTGCCAGGTATATTTATGCAACAGACTCAAACAATAATGCTGTAAAAAACATTTATTAATACCGCTTAGGTAAGAATGCCAATGTGAGCCACAATCGTTTTTTTTTCATTCAAAATCATTTAATTTCAAACTTGAAGTTACATTTCTTTGGCATGCTCTAATACTGCTATTTAAAGTACTGCTTCGTTTGAGATCGATGTGAATAAAAATTATGGGCTTTAGATGCTCCAAAATAGAAAATTATAGAGTATTACAATTAAGGCATTTGAAAGCCTAAGTGCTTCAGACATTTAATGGCCTTGTTATCTGCTTCGAAAGCAAATCAGATCTTGTGTAAAAAGACAAAATTCGTGATATTAAAGTTTAAGACTTTTTAGGTTGCCACTGTAGGTCAGAAATCGAGGAAAATGTACTTTCCGTAAAAAACATTACGCAATTTTAAGTATTTGCAATTCTAGAAATACTTAGTGAAACACTGATCACACTAGTTATGTAAGTTATAGTTACCTTCACAGGAATTGGTAGTTGTGTTCATTTTATACCCTGGTTTGCAACGGCACTCGAATGAACCCTGCGTGTTATAGCAGTCGGATGTTGCTGGTTCACAGTTATGTTTGCCAGTATTGCATTCATTAATGTCTAAAGAATTAAAGTTCATTGGCATTAAAAATGCAGATATTGGCTCTAGGGGGACTTGACACTATCAATGTTATCATCTAAAGATGAATATTTTGAAAATAGGCAGTGGATAAAAGGTCATAGTATAAGTACAGGGTCAAATGAGGGTTATGGAGAAGATTTGGTAAGTTCTGAAGCGAGTTCATTTATTGCAGGGGATCCGTTTTCAGCTCTAAACTGCAAAGCAATTGCGTACAACAAATAGCAATTCAGTGTCATTTACGATAAAATCTTGTATTCTAGTGTTTATAAGAGCTTTACATTTCATTCTATTGAAATAAAACATTTAAAAAATTTTTAAAATTCATTGACGTGGTCTTTGATTGATACACCATTGGCATATAAACAAACTTACCTTCACAGATTTTATTAACTGCCTCAAATCCTGGATCGCAGGAGCACTTGAAAGAGCCAATTGTGTTTGTACAGTACTTCTCACAACCACCATTTAAATGTTTGCATTCATTGACATCTAAAAGTAAACATTTTGAATACAACTTTTCGCAGTCACATGCAAAAAGATGTCAGACTTGAACAAAATAGCTAAGATCCCATTTGCAATTGAGAAAAACAAACAGAATTGTTTGGTTACATTACATTTTTCCCTCTCGTTTACATTTTAAATAACGCCATAAAAACCAGAGGAAGACTCGATTACGCTGGGCCGAAAAAAGAACGGGATTATCACACAAGGCCTGCGCAGTAGCTGAATCGAGATTTATGATCAGTTATCAGTTAAATTTTTCAGATAGCCTCGTTCAAGCGCAAAGAACAGTCTCGTTCTCAATCACAAAAAATAATTCCGTTCCAGCACTTGGGAACGGAAACAAAATTACGATTTTTCAACAACGGCAAGGACCAAACTAGCAAGGAACCAAGATTTCAAGTGTAAATGCAACCTATGTTGCTGCCTTTAAAGGCCTAGTATAAACAGAATATAAGAACATTTATTCCTAGCTCTAAAATATTAAGGTGCTAGCACAGGTGTTGATTAGGAAGTAAAAATATTGATTATACTCTTACTTTGTTTACAAATAGCCGAGCAACATCGAAAGCAAAGTATCATCGACAAATATAACGCCCAAAATTTCATGCATTCACTAAACGTCTAACAATAGATTTTATTGAAGAATATGTCAACCTAGAAATACCATCCCATCTATCTTCAAAATAAACTTGAAATAAGTAGTTGTCTACAACACATATACAGTTACACAAAGCACAATTACGCAATCACATGAAGCCCTGTGTTCAATATAACAAGTAACGAACCTTCGCATGTCTTTAAATCTGCTCCTAGGGTGAAGCCATTCCTGCAGTCACATCTATATTTACCGTCAAAGTTAATGCATCTTTGGTTGCAACCACCATTATTCACCGCACATTCATCGTTATCTGCAAAATATCATCTTGAATAAGTACTTCAGAACGGTACAAAAAAATCACAGCAATATGAACCTAGTGTGAGATCGGATTTGTAGCATATGTTATACGCGTATCAGACAAGTTTTAGCAGTTCATATATCGCTGGCCATGAGATTTAAACGCGCGGTGCTCGATACAGTAACGTTCTTTATAATCTAGAATTATAATTTTAAAGCCCTAAAATAGGCAAAGTGGTGAGAATTATGAATGCTTTAGAATGTTTTATGTAGATTTGGCCAAAAGGAAGTAAAAGTGCTCACTAACCGACACACTTCCTGTTATCTGCACCAAGATGGAAGCCTGTCCTGCAACTGCATTTATGCGATCGGTACAGGTTGGTGCAAAAGTGATCACATCCGCCATTACTATAGTCACATTCATTTCGATCTAACAAGAAATAATAAACAAATAAATCATTAATGGCCAGTGTTTTAAAGAGCGACAGTGCCACCCTAGTACTCGCTTAACGAAAGTTCTGAAGTCCCCTAAAGTACTGATTGAGAGAATAAGATGTCTGTTGTAACAATGAGCGTCGAGTGATTCCGAAAATACCCTTAAATGTACAACTTACTCTTGCAATTTACCTTATATCATTAGTCTATCTGATTTTAAAATCTCATGTTAAGTATTAATACGCGATAGGAAGTGGCTTAACGATGTAAAGGGTCACTGTGGTGAAGTTTTAGTTGATAGTCTGCTAAGAATTATAGATGCCTAAACAATAATTAACAAGATACAGTTTAAACATAATTTTTGGTTAGGAAGGATTCCTCTTTTAATAGGATATTTGATATCAACAAAAAATACAATTTTAGAAGAAAACAACATGAAAATCTTAAGAAAGGAAAAATCATCGGTGAATCGATAGAGGCTTGAAACTTTTAACAAGTTGAAATTTGCAAGCAGTATGAAACCAACCTTCTAGATTCAATGAAATTTTTTGCTTGGGCATTAACGATGATGAAGTTCCTTAGATTGAAGTGAAACGAACGGCATTCAGGGAAAACAGCCTTACCTACACAATTGTTACTGTCGTTAGGATCTTGGTCAAGTCCAGAAAAACAGTTGCATATGTAGTGTCCAACTTTGTTTTCGCATGTGGATACCGTGGTGTTGCATTTGTTGTTCTCCACACATTCATTGATATCTGTGAATACGAACACACGATTTGATGCAAAAGGAAACAACCCCAAAAGATGGCTTTTAAATTGTTTTTAAGAGAAGACTCAGTTAGCTAAATTTTATCAAAAGTTTGTTACTTTAAGTGGGGTTTTCAAGACAAAACTGTCAAGGAACGATCTATGTTTTTTTGGATGAGTGATACAACAAAACACCTTGTTTTAGTTTTAGGGTATCGAAAAGATATATCGTCATTGTCTGACTGTGCAGGATTGTCCTGGCTTTTAAAAACTTTAAAATCAAATGTCTGCTAACGAATGAAAAATAAACCAAGTTTTGCTAATAGAGACAAGAGAGGAATAATTCATCTTAGAGCTAATTGGTGGTTATGTGCAAAACCTTTTGGATCAATGCAGTGTTGGATTAGTAGACCCATAAAGCGTTGTAAAATGAAATTTTTTTTAAAACGTTGCTTAAGTATAATTTATGTTTAAAGCGTTGCTTAAGTAGCAAATTGGGAAAAGGTAAAAATTTTAAACAATTTCATTTTCAAAACTTGCTTAGCTGCTCAAGTTTTCATTTTTTGAAACTTCAAGAAACGAGCCTTGTTGTTGTTATTTTCAGGCTAAAAGAGGTTGTGTTGATTGTTAACCTCGTCTGGGGATTAGTGCTATAGAGTAGGGCCAGTGCGTAGTCCTTCGCGTCAAAGGGGTATATCAAATAGTCTATGACGAGCTTCTCACCATTGCATGTATGTCCATCTCTATCAAGTCGGTAACCATTATAGCATTTGCATCTGAATCCACCAATGATATTGACACACAGATGATTGCAGTTATTACCTCCCTCCCTGCATTCATTGATGTCTGAAAACAAGAATTTAGCGAATATTGGCATTGTTTGGCATAGAATGAATACATTTCTCCCCCTTTCATTTCTATCTATGTCGCACAAAGTTATTGCTTGTAAAGTGCGAATGGTTGTCACATATTCCCACCTTATTCTAGCGTCAGCTATATTTGCAAAAAGTGCAACTCTTTTATCAAAGATCTTCAACAGGGTGACTTTCTTTAACAAGCTGTCAATCTACGTCATCATTATATATAAATCTACATATTCTAAGAAAATTTCAAAAGACAATCGTGAAATTTGCCGTATTGAATAAGATTTAGCTGAATTGGACATACCTTCGCACGAGAACCTGGTGGATCGCTTGAAACCTCGTTTGCAGTCACATTCGTATGTTCCATCCAAATCAATGCAGTTTGTTGTCTGGTCATCACATAAGTCTGATTTCGTAGCACACTCATTTATATCTAAAATAGCAGTAAGAGCATTTTCGACGATTATGCAATATTGGGAAAACAGAATTTCCAAAAACGTTTTGAAATTTAAAGACAAACTTTGTCTCGATATAAAACCCCGCTTGTTGTTTATTACCTTTTACGAGTCAAATCGTAAAATTAATACTTTTTTGAAATTTTTCGTTAGCAAAGATATACTCCATGATTCCAATGAAATTTTGACTTCCAAAGTAGCCGGCATATTTTGTTGTTTTGTTGAACGAAGTATATAAAGTTTCGATGATACCGTTTGAACTAATAAAAACGTGTTTTTTAATAAGAAGAAAGTCATGCTTACTTGTACAGTTCTTTCCATCACTCTTGAGCTCATACCCATCATTGCAACTGCAGACTGGACCGGATTTTGCATTTTTGCAAACGGCTTCACAACCACCATTATTGGTCATACAATAATTCACTAGAATGCAAGCAAAATTCCTTACAAAAAACTAGAGAAATAAAACACGAAATTATTAAGGCGCAGTAGAGGCTTATAAAATTGAGATTGTTTGGTATAAAGTACCTATACTTGTATATTCTATAAGGAGGTGCTAATTTTCAATTTTCTTTTCTTCACATTTACTTCACATCTAAACAAAACAGGAAGTAAATTCTTCCCTATCTTTGAATAATAGCTCAAGTTTCTAAGAGCAAATTCAGCCATCCCCACCACCTTGGAACAACGTCGGTTAAAAATAAAACGATGCAAGAGAACAAGAAAAACGTTTTTCATGTAACTGATATGATATTTGCTTTAACTGTCAACACGATTCTAGGGGAAGGGGGGGGGGAAGGGCCGCAAATAGTAGCCATTGGGAAAAGAAATGAAAAAAAATGCTATAAACACAATGCAAATCGTTGTGTTCTGGAATAAATTTAGCATGCGTTGTTTATTATCCATAAAAATTTGACAAAATTTATCAAATTTGTGTGAAAAATGAAAAAAGGTAAGAAAAGAAAAAGAAACAATAGTAGATAAAGACAGAAAAACTAGATTAAAAAATTGAAAAATGCAAAAAGGAGTAAATGGAGATTGGGGAAGATGCAAAAGAAGAAGATTAGGAAAAATAAGAGAAAGAAGGAGAAATAAAGAAAGAGGGAGAATAAAGATAAGAAGAAAATATAGAAGAAGAAAAAAATAAAGGAATAGATAGGAGAAGAAAAACAAAGAAAAAGAGAAGAAGAAGAAAAGCGGAGCAAGAACAAGTAGAATAAGAACAAGAAGAAGAAGAAAATGAAAAAGAAGAAGAAGAACAAGAAGAATAGAAAGGAGAAGCAGCACAAGAAGTAGAAGAAGAAGAAGCAGAACAGGAAGAAGAAGAAGCAGAACGAGAAGAACAAAAACAAGAAAAAGAAGAAAAAGAAAAGCAGAACAATAAGAAAAAGAAAAAGAGAAAGAACAAGAATAGGAACAAGGAGAAGGAGAAGCAGCGCAAGAAGAAGGAGAAGCAGCGCAAGAAGAACAAAAACAAGAACAAGAAGGAGAAGAAGCAGAAAAGGAAGAAGAAAAAGCAGCGCAAATTGAACAAAAACAAGAACAAGAAGAAATAGAAGAAGTAGAACAAGAAGAATAAGAAGAAGAAGAAGAAGAAAAAAAGGAAGAGGAAGAAGAAGAAGAAGAAGAAAAAAGGAGAAAAGAAAAAAAACAGAGGAAGAGTTAGTGAAAAGAATCCGAAGAAAAAAAAGAGAAAAGAAAAAGATGAATTCTTCTACCAGCAAAGCTTCTTATAACTGCAATTGTAACTTACTTCATTAACAGATTGAAGACACTTTGGTAAGTTGTGATCTATTTCAGTATTTCTTAAAAGGCTTTTGCAGGGTAGAAAAGAATCTCACAAAAAATTAAAAGCTTCTATATTTACTGACTTGTTAGCTCCAAATACAGAGGATCATATTTTCATAAACTTGAACCTGGAGTCAATCTTGAGTAAAGCAATCTAAGTTTAAAGCCTTTACTATGTTTATAAGATAACACACTCACCGTTGCAAGTTTTGTTATCCTTGTCTAAAACAAATCCAGAATTGCAACTGCAAACTGGACCTGATGGTCTGCTAGTGCAAGTCTGGGCACAACCACCATTGTTCTGTTTGCAATGATCTGGGGGTGATGTTGGTTGGGGAGTAGTGGGAATAGCTGGATAAAAGGTTACAGAGATTATTAATGGAAATGAAGAATAGTCACGTGAATATCGTTTAAAAAGACAGACAAAGTTGTATTTATATAGACAGTATATTGGTTTACACAAGGCTTGTTATATAAGCTAATGTTTCTTAAAATGCAGGATGTTTTTAAAGCGCATAATGTTTTGCTATATCTGTATGTCTATATCGAAGATGCGTTTAAATATTACTTCTTTAATTACCGACAGCTTTTGATAAAAGGTTGAGAAACACGTGAAGGTGAAACGGAAGAAAATCAATAATGAAAATTTTTGAAAAGAGCTTATATCTTAATAATGTTTGGGAAGAGGATTTTTTACCTTTGCAAGTCTTCCCATCTTTGTCCAAATAAAACCCAGAATTACAGCTGCAAACTGGACCAGAAGGAGAACTAGTGCAGACGTCTGAACATCCACCGTTGTTCGCTTTACAATGATCGACGGGAGTGGTTGAGGGTTCTGTTGGCCTCGGAGTAGGAGTCCAAACTGTACACAAAAAAACAGGTTTCTAGTTCAAATTGCTTAAAAATAACAAAAGTTATGACTGGTGCCGTGCTTGAAAGAAAACATAAAATCTACGAATCGAAAGCAAGGCTTTAAAATCTAAAAGCTAAACTGGAATCCGAGTTGAAAACTACAATTTGAATCACGTTACCCAATATCCTTTTTTGTAATGATAATATTCTAAAATTTTGCTACTTAAATATTGTAATCTGTAACAGCAATTAGATAAAGACGCACTTTTTCTATTACGACAATCTCAAGGTTGATTTACTGCAAAGTTTATTGAAGCAATGCAAAACAATCTTCATTCAGCATGATTTAGAAACAGTAATCAAAATTGCAGTTTCTAGGTTTTGAGATATCAATAGAACAGATCACATTTTGCATTTGAAAGAGTTTCTAACCTTTGCATCCATAGATTTCAAATCGAAGGCATGCTTTGTTAGATGGAACATACTCTCGAGGTTGCAATATTATAGCTTCCGCCTTTATGTCGTCAAAAGATAGCGATTTGCGAGCGATTTCCATTTTGTTAGTTGGTCCTTTGACCACTTGCTGAAACAACATTAAAAAGATTAGAGCCATTTTGTTCCACTATCATTTTCCATTTCTGTTTGATACACCTCAGATAAAACTTTGCAAAAAGGAATTCTTATAATGGTTATAAGTTATTATAATCCATTTATATATATATCAAGTGTAACAACATGTAGAATATTTCATTTTCAAAATATCAGCAATCATATAACATAAGTAAGGCAAATGTCTACAAAAAAGCTGCCTCTAAAAAAATTCAGTGGTTTAGAAAATACTGATTGGTAAATGAAACTCATTCAGAACTAGCCTGTTCTCCTATTAACTATTTTCGTACCGCATATATGTGTAGAATTGTTTACCTTTTGATCTCAAGAAACAATTTTCAAAATTTGCAAATGATATATTTCTGACTTTTTGTCAAATTATAGTGGCGTTGCAGTGACATTGGCAATCAATTAATTCAGGAGAGAGAGTGGACTGACGTTAGACAGACCGCGTTTTCTGAAAAGGTTGAAATCAAACGAAAAATATTTTGACAGATATAATTGGTGATGGGGAACGGCCTCTAGTATTTTGTTCCTACTGCTGTTATTCTAAGATGAAGTGTATGAATTTCTTGCCTCAGGGCAGCAAAATGAACTGTACTGTAGAGACAGCCTCTAAAACTGCAAGCTTTTACTGTACAAGCATCGTCACACTAAGTATACTTACTAGCAGATAATCATAAATGCCACCGTTGTGGATATATTTCAGACCATACGCCATGACGTAACTGCCATTCCCAGATCCATTTAGGCCTTGAACAGCAATCCCGGTCACTTTGTACGTTGCTGGTAGTTTAACCTAGGAGATATTTTTTCACTAGTTTAACAAAGCGTGTATGAGGCATGTTTTCATAACGCTGTGTTATTATGATCTTCTTAATGTTATGTCTTATGTTTTATGTCTAATATTATTGATCTCTTGACAGCTTCATATTTTACATTATTTAGAATACGCAAATCTGGCAAAAACTTTGGGGAGGCTGCAGCCCGCCATGCCTTTCGGAGAATATGATTCAATTTCCCTGGGTACCAAAGCCACAAAATTACAAGAGCATACATAGAAATCCAAGCGGAGAAGTGGAGGAGCGTTTGTTGCTCTGGTAACCAGGGTATGAGTCAATATGCTTGGGAAATTGGGAAACTTTTTATTTGGGGATCATGAAAATGTTAGATGATGATTTAACGCCTGCGGTAATACATGAGTCGAAATGTCGACAAGAAATCAAACCAGGGAACACGTTAAACAAATTTTATGCAAAATTAGCAAGAAAGTTAGCAAGGATTCAGGAAGAAAATGTTACCGTGATAGATTTTTTTGAATCGCTCGAACTTGAGCACCATGCCTTTGTATTGAGTTGGTTGAGACGGGCGAAATGAGCCAGGTTTTTTCTGTGTAGAAAAATAGAATGGCTTTATTAAAGTTTGCTTTTAATGTCTTTCTTGTTGCTGCTTGCAATCTGCTTAAAAAATCACTAATTCGAGAAGGTAGTATCTTACAAAATACTTATTGAAAAGCAACTACTTTTATTTCATGGGGTGCAGGACTAACTTTACTAATTGTAATTTTGTTTTCGAGAAGTTTTAATCTGTTTGAATCAACAATTTATTGTACAAAATCTTGAAAAGTAATATACATTAAATATGAAGGAAAATTTTGCGAAATTTAAACGGTGTAAGCTGGAGGGATGGGTGTTAAATTGTCTTCCTAGGATTGTTGTAAGCCCTTTTTTATGATGAAACGAGTGTGGTAAGGGCCGTAGCTACATTGGGGTTTTAGGGGTGCGTCACCAATTTGGCCAAATCTCAGTCGATAAATCTAGAAAAAATTACATTTAGTCAGCAAATTGAGAAGAAAACCTAAAATCAGCATACAAGCAGTTTTGCTAGAGTATGTCAAATGGTCAAATCATTAACATTTGTGTTAGAAATCGCCAAAGCCCACGAGGAATTTCTATCAGGGAAACAAGTTGCCTTCTTAGGTATCATGTTAGAGCTCTACCATGTGCAAGGTAAGGAAAAGTAAAAGTGGAAATCTAGTAAGAGGAACAAAAACAACAATAAAATGCCACGTACAACAACAATATGCCACGCCCAAACCTACGCCCACCCGTCGGAAAAATGAGAGCTTGCATCCCTTTGAATGTGGTATTCACAAATCAAGAAGATTGAAGAAATCCATTCAAACATAATACGGATTACATACTACTTTAGAAAATTCGCTTTATTCTCTTGCATAATATTTTGAAAATAGCCTTGAAAAATTAAACTATTCATTTTTGTTCAATTTTGTCTTTCCTTCAGTGGATCCAGACAGCAAAATTTTGTTGAAGAAAATCTAAAATAATTAGCACATATTTGCAGACTTTTTCTTTCAGAGAGACAAGAAATGTTTTATTTGCTTTCATAGCAAAAGGTTGGTTTAGCTGTATAACCTGGGCTAACAAAGTTATCCGTTGCAAACAATAAACGTAACGAGAAGATGAATTTGAATTGATATTGACTGGTCATTGACTAGATCAGTTCTAAAGCAGAGAAAAGAAAGAAAATTCGCAGTTTAGAGTAGTGGGGACAATTTTAAGGGTCAGAGCCTAGACGACTTTGCAGTCAAATGGTCAATGACAGAGAGCCAATGTCAACGTTTACTTTTGCTCTGATGAAGCCCCGTATGGGGGGTGAAATGTTAGCATTCACTAATTTACGTGTATTAATTGTTGTTCATTCTCGTCGCATTGCGGTGTTCCTTATTTGCTACAAAGAAACTAAAGTCCCATAATTTTTTAATTTTTCTGGGAGACAGGTTTTCAGCTCTAAATTAAGGGATGAAGACAAACCCAATTTTGAAATATCAATCTTTACATGGAGAGAAGGACAGGAGTAATAGACTGATGATCGTGGTAAGAAAAGGACTTTTTAGCGAAAATCTTTCGAATAACGGAAATTCAACAGCCAAGGGTTGCTATGCATGACTATGACTATGACTTATTCTAATCCCCCGGTTTATTCGGAACCCGAGGGTAAATCAACGTAGGAACCGGGGGTATATGCCGTCCACTTTCCATGACAACGACTCTGCTCTTTCTTCTGCGACTCAGATTACGTCACCACTGCGCTATTTCCAAGCTCTTAAGATTGTGTAATTTTTTAGAAATTTTACCCAAGATTCAGAATTGAAGGTGCACTTTCGACAGGCACCGTCAGTAATTTTGTAATTTTGCTGGGATATTTGATAATTAGATGTGAAATTCCTTTTAAATTTGTTCACGAAAACGTTTACCTTCACCTGACTGTTAAGGGCACTATACCGCCAAAAAACTTTTCACAAAATTATCTCTTTATGCACTTTTCTCTATATAGAATTTGGGACACTAGGCCCCCTCCAACCGCCAGTATTTATTACAGTCTTGGACGACGAATAGCCATTATGAGGCCTCCCCGCCCTTGTTATGCTTATTGCCAAAGCAATTTGAGTAAAGGATTAAGTAAATATTCCTAACACATACTGTTCTAACAATACTGGCAATATTGACAACGTTTTCATACTATTTTTAAACAGCTTTTTAAATAAGAGCTTATAGCTATTTAATAAGAACAGCTGATGAGGTCATGGGATCCCAAATACACCTAATATTTATTGGAGAAACTCTTCACAGCAACCTGTAAAGCAGGGGCGTCGTGGCTGGGGGGGCAGGAGGCGTGGCCCCCTCCCCTCTGCTCTCAAAATTTGATGGATTTTCAGAAAAATCATTGTTTTGTCGGAAAATTCTCAAATTTGAGCTGTGGGTAATTCTCAAACTCTTAGCAACATAAATTACTTGGACTAAAGTACTTACCGTAAATTCGAGAGGCAATTCAATTTTAGAGAAGAAAATACTAGATTTCCACAAAACAAAATGATTTCTCAGGATTTACCGATTCCTTCCATAGAGTGATTGGCTGTTCGGATTTTGTCAGTTAAAATCCGGAACTTCAAAGGCCAAATTTGGTTATGGAAATTGGTCAAAATTGGTATAAATTATATCTTTATTTGATATTGAAGAATGGGACAGTACGAATTTTGTGAGTATCACCAGATTATTTAATATTGTGTCCCAGATTTGAAAATTTATGCAGTTATGTTGCGTAAGGTAAAACAAGGTAGAAGTCGATCAAAACCATCGATTTTCCCTTGTGGATATTCAATTTAAAAATAAGATATTATGATTAAAATTTGCTTCAAATAATGCAATTTCCGATGAATTTGAAGCATTAGATCATGAAAATTTTTATCTTCGGCGGCAACCATGATAATGGCAACCCTCAGGTAGTAACTTCATTTTACCCTTGTCCTAATCTACGGATGTCAGGGGCATTCACTGCAAGTATGAAGAAACAGAGACAAGTTAAAAAGTTCATTTGCAATTTTCTTTCCAGCTAAGGCAAAAGTTATGAGTTTTTCTGCCCCACCCCCTTTACACTTATATGAAATGCTTCTATTCCAAATAAATCAAAGAAATTTTGTCGGAAAATTTTTCTTTCTGGCCCCCTCTAGAATTCATTCGCCACGACCCCCTGCAGGGGCGGATCTAGAAATTATTCTGAGGGGTTCTAAAACGTAAGGCTTGGTAACCCAGGGTGTTGCTATGCACAAACTCCGTACCCCTGCTAATAAGCCATAATGAAATGAAAGCCTTCCATAAACTAAAAAGCCTGGATGCCTTGATTTATATAGTAATTTTTGGTTTCAGCTTTTATGCCAATTGAACGCAATTTGCAGCTCGCCCCTCTTATATTCACTTAGGGTACAAAAGTATAGAAACTGTAGTCAAATATGATATGATGGCCCGCAGTGGCAAAAGGCCCGAGCCCACAGATTTTCAAAGCAAAATTTAATTTTTGACTCTTTGCAGCCATTTATTAGAACTTGATCAGCTTGACCAAAATAATAACGTGGCTGGTGGAATGAAGCCCTTGATGTGCAGTGCAAAAGTTGAACACAGGGATTCAAACACAGCATGCATCGCCAAACCGAAGGCCCTGAACGTTTCGCTATGGGCCTGGCGTTTTGAGTATTTTTATGTATTTGAAATTCTTAGAGAAAAAAGGATTCGCAGGAATATAAGTAGGTATAAAAAGGAAACCCCTTTTGGTCAATAATAGTAAGGGCAAGTTTTTGAGATGTTTTTTATGTAGTTCTTGAATGATTAAAAAAAGAATAACAAGGGCTCGGGCAAGCTTTATCCTCTGAATATAAATCATACCTCATGGTCTATGAATAAGACATGAAACACGGAGTTGAAACTTGAAACCGTTCTGTTATATAAACCACAGCGTTTACAAGTTCTGCCGTTACAGCATCGAGCATCAGGTAAAGATCGTCAAAAGATCCACGAAAACATATTGCAAATTTGCGCCTAAGCATTCGTCGCGTGCTGTATCATAATTCAACTCCCCCTGGTCAACCTCAACTCCCCCTGTTCAAGCTCAACTCCCCCTGGTCATAAAACCACTTATACATTTGACTGTAGATTGAAGCGAAGAAACTCCCCCTGGTTTGTCGGTATTCTTTGATGTTTTGGATTTTTGAAATCCATGGGTTCTCGCGCCAAAGTTTAGAACCCCTCGACCTGGCACCGTGATTGGCTAGATTCACTTCCACGGGTGCAGAAACTCGTATAATTTACAGGCCACGGGTTCCTTAAGTGGCTGGATATAAGAGGAGACAATGCTTTCCGAGTCTGTAGAATGCTATACAGGACAACCAGGGGGAGTTTCATAACACTTCAATGCATGGACTGAAATAACAATGTTGAACAGTTGTGAGACGGGGCATTGAAGCGGAAATAACAATTTCAGGAGATGTGCATACTTCCCGGTATTATTTAAATGGTTTAAATAATAATAAACAAAATTGCGGTAGATTAAGCTTTAATCCCCAAAAAGTTTTTTCTCAAATCTGAGGGGTGCTCGAGCCCCCTTCGCACCCCACTGGATCCGCCCCTGCCCTGTCTGGCTCTATCTTTGATGGATTCGAAAAGTAGAACTTTAAAGGTACTATGTCCCGACGCATTTTGTTGGCCATTTAAGTTTCCTGTTTGTTGGAATACACAATAGACCTATCGTTACATATCCAATCGGCTAATTCCTAATAATTTCTTGATTATAGACACACTGCAAAGCCTATAGTTAAATCTGAACGATTGACTGACCGGACATAGTGCCCTTGAGCAGAAAAACTTACCCATCGTTTGAAGAAGCAGAGAAGGCACTGTCTGCTATAATGCTTGGATCGCCAATGCCAATGGGACTATTGCAAACTACAAGAGAATTTTTCATAAAATTTTCTTAGTCAAATACTGCTTTTACTGTAACTGAAAGAAATTTTATTCTGCAAAGCTACTTTTACTTTAAATCCCCGTGATATAAGTTAGGATTCTGCTACAGTGAATTGCATTCCATTTTTTTGTTGTAGAGAAGCAATGCCGTTTTGAAATATTTTCCTTATAATTATGACGAATAAAGGAAAACGGTTACTTCGTGGCAGCAAGGGGGGTCGCTTCTTGGAGGGTCACTTCGTGGCAGCAAGGGGGGTCGCTTCTTGGAGGGTCACTTCGTGGCAGCAAGGGGGGTCGATTTTTGGATGGGTTCTGCTGTTAGGACGGACATTCACGCTGGCTAAACAAATATTTTATAAAAAGGTACCCTTTGCTAGACAAATTTCTATAGAAAAGAACACCCTTGGCAGATTCTAATATTGAAAAATGGTACCCCAGATAGCTCAAAATTGTTGGTTTGGGATCGGAAAGTCAAGGGTCGATTTGTTTCATTTACTAGTTTATTATCAACAAAATATGAGTTGTCGGGAAGAAATCCCTACCTTAAAGGCCGTTCCATAGACCCAAATCGTCAAATATGATAGCCACCTTAGTTAGACCTCGGTTTGATAAAAATTGCGATACCCTTGGCTAGACGAGATGCCCGAAAAAGCACACCCTTACGCACGGCAAATTCCAAGGATACCTTTACTATGGAAGCGCCATACCTACCAGGCCCTTGGTCTGTCTCTCCGATCCACACAGTGGTGGCGCCAGAGGGGGGGCAGGGGGGGCTACAGCCCCCCCGTCGGAGGAGGCTAGCCCCTCCGTCGGAAGATAAATTATGCTTGAATTTTTTTTGTCGGAGCGAATTTTTTAAGTTTTGGCGGAAATAGAAATTTCTAAAAGGACTGTTATCAGAATTCAGGAAGCTCATCCCAAAACAACTCATCGACACATCAATTTCATGGTAAATAATAATCTGTTATAAGAAGTTTGAATTGGTTGTTTAGATGTTCAGTACCAGGTGTTTTCCGCATGCTGTTAAATTTGATCTTATGTTATGGATAGTGCAGTTCGTCCAAATCTTGCTTGCTATAACCAACCTACAACATCGGAATATTTTTGTGCGATAGCGATATGGCAACAAATGTTACCCGTTTCAGTGTTAGATGTAGTATATGTAATGACGTATTTAACAATGATTACGCTGCCCGCCACACGAAGTCCAAGCACAAAGATTTGGCTGCAATGGGAAGGACTGCTCCTACGACGGCAATAGTTGAAACGGACTCGCAGCAGAGAAAAATAAAAACATTTTTTCAATCAAAAGGCGGTACTTTTCCAAAGAAACGAAAGGTTAATGATTTTGAAACTGAAAGAACAACAGAAGACCCCGAAGAACAAGAAGTTGAAATTTCGAAAATTCAAGACGAAGAGCAAATCGAACGTGGTATGTTATACGTTTTAATATTTAAGTCCTTTTAATACGATTAATACGTGCCCTTAATAATATGTCAAAAAACGTAGTAAAAAACACGATTACACCATTTTGATAGCATTTTTAGCCAATCTAATGGGTGTAGCCACCAAAATTTTCCCGGGGGAGTACCCCCGGACCCCCCGAATTTTCGGCTCGCAACGCTCGCCTTCGGTCTCCAGTACCCTTACAATTCCTTGTCGCCCCCTAGCCCTATCGTTCTCTAAAAAAATTAGCCCCTCCGTCGGAAGTGCTAGCCCCTTTGTCGGAGGAAACCTAGCGCCACCACTGGATCCACAGATGAAGAAACATACTTGGTCGACGTGACAAACTTATTTTTAGGATGCAACTCATACTCAACATAGAGGTTTTCGAATAGAAATATATCAAGCAGTACAAAGAACTTGCACAAAAAAGCTCCACTATTTTACAGCGTCTCTCTGAGATGCATTTATGATTTCAGCAAAAATGAATACACTCGATATCTTGGAAATATTGCACTCTTTTAGACCTTCAAAGTTTTTTTCTTGTTCTATCATTAAATTGCTTTTTCATAACCTTTATTTGTTTGAACTGTTAATAACTGTGTTTGAACGTCATAAAATGGATTAGATGTTAGGTCAAAATTTAATTCAATTCTATAATCAAAATGTTAATTTTTGAAGACTGTGCTCCTTTTAGACTCTTTTGTAACTTTTATGCATTCTAATGAAAATTGCAGTCTTTTCAGAAGTATAATCAGTCCATTCTATCTTCGGTATCCTAGATGTCCTTATTTTATTTTTGGATGCTTGATATCCTATCTGTTATAGTAGTAAATTAAATTTGCGTTTTAAAATTGGAAATTTGAAATAGATCTTTTTTCCACCGATTGTATTCCAAGAAATCTTTCATTTCTAACTTCAAGATGGATAAAAAATCAAGCCCCAATTAGATTCATCTCAAGCAAATTACATTCCATATGAAAATTGCACATCTTATTGGTCCTTATTGTGTATATCAACAGTTCATGCAAATAGCATGAAAAAGTTGCATTTTGACTGTCTTTTCAAATTTCAATCGAAAACTTCAAAAAGCCGAGTATCAAAGTCACCAAAAAGGGCTCTTCTCGGTCCTCACTGGATCCAAAATTTCAACATAACAGGATCAGTTGCAACAAATAAAAGCACAACAAGACCTTAGAGATTTATAACAAAATAGGCAACCATTTATGGCATTCCAACATCGTGTGACTGAGGTTTTTTCTTAGATACTGGAGCTGATGCTGTAGTACACTATAATGCTAATTTGCAAACCTCATGTACATAAAGGTGAAGTGTTGTCAAAATGAAGAATTTTTCTTATGCTCCTACCTTGCCCATGAGTGAGCTGGAAAGTCACTCCCAAAAGAACAGCAAAGACCAATCTTACTCCCATGTCTACGTTTCTAAAATGGTCTAGAAAAGTCTTTGAGAATTTTCATTCCAAGCAGAGAGTTGATATTTAACTAGGCTATGGGCTGCGTCACCAGTGAGTTGAGACAGCTGGCCTAGCTGATTCAACAACCTTTATGTCAAATATAGATTTACCTAGCTTAAACAAACAAGTAAAATTGATTTCATATTAGTAGACCAATTAAAATATCCTCGCTAAAGGCACCCTAAACACACTTATAGTCATCGGAGCAATGGGTGCAGAAATCTAGCTTTTGTACATAAATCTAATGTTGGAATTGCGTAAAGGTTGGCTAGTCAGCCTTTAAGCAACATAGGCAAACAAGCCAATCGCTTTGCGTGCTGGCTTTTGTGATATGCTAGTTGTGATATTTTGTAAGACGTTTGTGATATTTGTGATATATATAAGTTTTTAACTTTAAATGTGTCACTTTAGAATTTGCAAGAAAATTTTCATTAAAATTGAATTCAGGATGTGATGCAACAGCGTGGGTGTTGTAGTAAGTGGTAGAGGGTAAGAATGCACCCCCAATATCAACCTGTCGGATTTGGTTTATGTTTCGTAGGATAAATCACAATTTATACTTATCTTACTTAGTGTTCTTCATACAAGAGGTAGGAGAACTAATTCTAATTTTGTTTTTACGTCATAAAACTATAGATCCACAAGCAAACATCGATAACCCAAATAAACATCATAAACAAATAAACAAATAAACATCACCAAATGACGCACAACTCATTATTTGAACTAAAGTCTAGTCTCTGCTACACCCCTGCAAGATCTGAAAATTACAAGGATCCCTCCATCGATAGGATCTATCGGGTAAATCATGAATTAGAATACTGTAACAAGATAATAGATACTTGGCATCTTAGATTTACGACTATATCCTTCACTTTTTTTCATTTGCAAACCTGGTCAGGCTCTCTCGAGTACAAAGCCCAAAACTGTTATCGTGTATTTTTATCATATTATTTGAGCTGAATCTTTTAAGGACAATGCAAATAAAAATTTTAGGTAGGAAACATTCTTATTATTTTGTCTTTCACTGTTGTGGCATGGCTTGGGGGTATGAGCAAGACTGCATGGAGCTGTTACAGCTGATAAAGACCAAAAGCATGGCCAACGCAAAAAAATACCTGGAATGCCTTAAACTGAACGAAATGACAGCGAATCTTTCTAAATTTCAAGCTAGGGGTAATAATATAGGAAAATTTTACATTAATAACGAGTTTACGGTAAAAGTAGCTACTTTACTTGGTGTTGAGATTAACGAAAATCTGAAATTTGACACTCACATCGATAGAATCTATAAAAAAACAGCCAAGCACTTAAATTTGCTATAGCAAAAAGCAAAGGAGCAACCTTTGGATGTTATGTAGCAAAGGAATCAAGTATAAACTAGAGAAAATAAACGAGAGAACGTTGTGACTCGCGTATTCTGAATATTCACTCTGCTATTGTAGGTCCGTGACCTTTAATCTAAGTTTATTTGGTATCCCTGTGTTTGAACAGAATTAGCTGTTATTGCGATTGCTCAAGGGAGTAATGTGAATCCCAATATTCAGATTATTAGATTATTCCTTTACAACCTTCAAATCGAAGTCATGTAGTTATTTTTGAGTGAGATTTATCGCTATGATCGATTATGTTTGTCTTGTCTCTGTCGAACCTGAGTTTGTAAAAAATATCGATTCATCACGACGAAACAAGAGTTACACTAAATGGATCCAATCGCCAACTAAAAGAAAACTACAGTCCATATTCAAAATCTTAGCACTTAAAGTATAAGAAGCTCTCAATAATCTAAATCCTATTTTTATGAAGGACTATTTTTCACCAAAACTAACGAGCTGCAAACTGTACAAAGTCCCCTTACAATGCCGAAGGCTAGAACTACAAATTATGGAATCAGATCACTCAATTTCCAAGGGTGGAAAATCCGGAACTCACTTTTAGTTGAAATCAAAGTAGCCCGAAATTCAAAAGAATTCAAGATCTGATGCAATCCTTGAAATTGCTTCATGTTAGTCTGAATTAGTGTTTTTGCACTATTGTAATAAATAAGTCATATACATATATGAACAGCGAGGGCTGCTGAGGGAAAGCGGAGAGGAATTTTGATATTTCATATTTTATTCATAAGCTGTTTGTAGACTATCAATCAATAGAACTTGTATTCTAATTGCTAGCAGTTTATATATTGTATTATTGGAACTAGCTAAATGGGTATTCGTTTTGCAAAATTAAAAATTAAAGTGAGCTGAGGGGAGGAAAGGGCACGCCATTCGAAATAGGGGCCGGGCAACTGGGACTGGAGGCAGGAGCTCATTGCAACTTCACTTGGGGTGAGTATTTACAATCGTAACATTCAGATGTGTTACGCAATGAAGGTAAACATTTACAAATGAAGTATAAATTTTATTGGATTGTGCGCTGTGAAGATGACCTTATGTTTGAAAGGTTAGTTCCTTCTGCTTTTCCCGGAACCATTGCATCAGATGATAAGTGAATACTGCGGAGGAGCGTGAGTTTCCAATGTTTCGGGAAATGGTTGCAGCAGCGCGAAAAGTTTGAGGTACGGTTGGTTGAAAGTTTTGAGACACCGTTGCCGCTAAAAAGTTTTAAAGAAATTAGAGAAGATAGAATGGCTTCGAGAGAGATGCACCGATGGGAACAAAAAAAGGAGCTTTATGCTCTCTTTGAAGGCAAGATCGAAACAGCTGTTATCGACATGGTATTCGGTGGCTGTAACGATCAAGGTAACTTCCCTAGGCTAGGCCTAATTTGATTGCAGAATTTGACGCACAATAATTGTTCATACTTTTTACTGCTCAGCTTCGTTAAAACGTTATCAAGGATTCATTCTTGAGTTTAAAGCTATGTGCCTAGGTTGTTTTAAAGGGCTTTTTGGATTCCCCATAGTTGTTTTTATGTGGGAAGAATGATGTGATACGAAAGATATTCAGGAACAAAGCAATACGAAGACGAGAATCCAATGTAACGAGATAAAATTTTCAAAATAAACTAAAACACGGGATTCCGCTATTGGGCAGCATTTACTGAAGTACCATTTACTGCAAAAAACTATAATGGCAACATGTTTTGGATTATTAGTAGAGCCATCTAGCAGTTTTGGAATCTATCTACATCAACATAAAAAATGCTTATTGTGTAGACAGAAGAAGTTCGTCTTCACCTTAGGACTCCATTGGTAACATTTTCCATAGGCAAGTAGCACTGATTAGGCAATCTCAACAGTCATGTTACCGTGTTTCTGATTTGCCTATTTTGATCCACAACTGGTGTAGTGTTTTGATCTATGTTCTGATGTTTTGTGCTCTGAAGAGTATCAAACGTAAAGCTTTTCTATGGCCCAGAATGTTTGCTTTTTTCAAAGCCATTTTCAAATTTTGTACCGTGAATAGATTGTTTAATCTAATATTTCTTTTTTAAAGTTGAAGACGCTAAAAAGGCCTTGTCAAGCATGTGTTTGATGCCAGAAGACAGCAGCGATGTAAAGATTATTGAATCAACTGCCAAGGGTTTTCCTTCTGACACTGAAATGGAAGAAGCTCCTAGAAATAAACAGAAAACCATGTTCATCCTAAGGGGACTTCCAGGCAGTGGAAAATCCTATTTAGCAAAGTATGATAAAGTTATTATACATCATTTACACCTTAAATCTTCTGCATCAGTTTTTGTTGGTCATGTTGACACTGTACTCAGTTACATGTCAGCTTCTGAAGTGTAGCTTCTGAAATAACACATTTTCAGATTTTTCATAAAAGCAAATTCTTTTATTCCCAAGTCAACTGAAGCAATATGGAGATACCATTCTATCAACAGATAACTTCTTCAGAGCTGGAAAAGGGTATGTCTTTTAAAAGTTTCTGCAATTCATGAATAAATTTAATGACAAAATGCATTTATGACAAAAGGCTTTTTCTTTATGAATTTCCCACAAGGGTGGTGTACTGTCTGCTTTATTGTGTTTGCAAGGGAAATCACTCTGCTAACTATAAGAAAGTAAAGAGACTACAAAAAGCCCCCAGGAACATATAGACTAAGTCCACACAGCTCTTATTTGTTTAAACCAGTCCCATACAATGTTTTGCTCTGCACTTTGTGATGGAGCTGCGATGGCTCCTCTGTGTAATCGGTAAAAGAGAAGGGCAGTACGGGAATGACTCGGCCTTGGGTGATGGCTTGAAAGCACGACCCCGTAGCTCAGTGGCAGAGCACTTGACGTACAAAGTCCGGGGTCGTGAGTTTGAGCCTCGCTCAGGTTGGTTATTTTCCCGCACTATCTATTAGTTGTCTTTAAAATCCTGTTGTCTTTACACTTTTTGATAATTTCTGTCACTTGTGCCAAAATTCCCCTTGAGTGATTTTCTTAGTTGCTTGTTTTATTAGCCTTATCATTTGTATTTCTGTTGTTAAAATAGCAAATTTTAGGGGTAAATTTTTTAAGAGGTAAAATTATTTCAAATCGCAGCAGTTGCCCTCAATGAATCCAATAATTTCAGTTGCTGGTTAATGTGTCTCTTGTTTTTTTCTGAAGATTCGAATTTAGAGGAGACCAGCTTCAAGATGCCCATGATTGGAACCTTGCATGTGGTAACTATTGTCAGTCACTTCCTCTTTAATGCACATTTTTAATGTTGCCTTTCTAGTTTTGCTTCATGGGATGTGTAGAATATAGGGATCTGGAAGGCACATGCATGGCTAAATCAGATAAATAGAAAGATAAATTGTGCACATCAATTATCTTTGATGCAAAACTAATTATGTAGCTTGAGGAACAAGCAAAGAAGCTTTCAATTACTGTAAAACTGCATGGAGATGCCATGCCTAATGCAACTTTTTCTGCAAAATGTAAGCTTCAATTTTATTTAAATTTTGCAGAACTTACCGTTAAACAGTTCATCTTAGAAAACTGTTTTCAAGCCTTAGATAAATGTTGATTTCCAATTCATAATTTGTCTCTTGTATTGATGATTTATTTGCTTAAAGCACTCCAAGCAGAAATTCTGATATTCAAAGTTCATAAGCAGAAATTCTGATTATTTTGTCTCAGCAAGATCAGCAATGCGAAGGGAAGATGTCAATAACATTTATATTGACAACACTAACACTCGTAGCTGGGAGATGAAACCATATGTCTTGGCTGTGAGTTTCTTCTGCTTTGAAGTTCATTAGAATAAGGAAAAACTCAATCATATGCTATTTTAGTTGGAAAACTACAGTTTGTTTTAATTAGCCTTATTTTATGATGCTGTCAATATCTTAACTTTTTGTCTTTGGACCTCTGTTGCATGCTGTGCTTTTGAAAAATGATGAACAGATATGTTTAAAAATGAACCTCGTTAAAAATGCTAAATGCTGTGATATGTTGGGGATAATATATCTTTAATGTTTAGGCAGAGTGCAACAGCAGAAGAGTAAAAATCTGAACATTAGAAAAGCCAGTTGACTACATTCTAGCAACATAGGAAGGGGGGTTCTTTAGAGAAACATGATGCTAAACACATTAATATGATTTAAGCTAATTCTTTTAACATTAAATTTTTTAATTTTTCTTTTCATAGGCGTTAAACCATGGGTATAACGTCGAATTTCTGATGCCACAAACTCCATGGGCCTGGAATATCAATGAACTTGAAAGGTTTGATTCAAATAATTATAATAAATTCATTAAATAAATCAGTGAACTAGTATCCTATTGTGTTTTTGTATCATTTTCTTAATGTGTAGGGTTGGTTGGGTGAAAGTCTAGTCTGTTTTATTTGCGCAATTATGTTGACCCTATCTTAGTGAAGTAGTATTTTACAGATAATTTTGACAGTGCATATCAATAATAATGATTTAACTTTCGATATCTGATTCGATCTAGGTAATAGCCAAGACATAATTGATACATTCTGTCAGCAATTGATTGAATATTACCTTATTGCCACTTTGAACCCTTTCAGTTTGATCTTTCATTTTTCAGTTCTCAATTGGTTTTCATCCTTTTTCCCATGTTTAGTTTTACACTTCTTGAAAATAACCTTGTTTCGCCTTTGCTAATAGGAGAAACAGAAGCTTTGCGTTATCCCTTTTCTTCCTAACTTTGCTAATAGGAGAAACACTCACGGTGTTCCAAAAGGGACTCTGCAGAAAATGCTGGATCGGTTTGAAAAAGACGTCACTGTAGAAAAAGTACTAGCTTCAGACAAAGCCGAGCCCCAGGCATTTCGGCCGTTCGAAAAGCAAATTCATCTTTCCGAAAGAAGCAGAAGGGCGCTGGTATGGACGCAATGTTAAGCTTTAAAAGAAACAATTATTTACATTTTTGGCGCAATCAAAGTTTACTTTGCGTTGAAATGCTTTAACGGACAAGCACCTGTATGCATATGCCAGTTTAGGTTTTCACTTGGCATAAGGGTAGGGTCGAGATCTAGTTTACTGGGTTTAGACGGTTTTTCATTAAGTTGATTTCTCAAGCCTTGTTCAGATATCTCCCATTGCTCCCAAGAGTTGAAGATAGGGTAAAATTACAGCCGAAAATCTTTAGTCCTAGGCCATCAAATTTTCGCACTCCATTTTGACATTTTTGTTTCTTCTGTCCGTTTACTTTTCCCCTGAAAATCAACGCTTGTATTGATGCGATCTCTTACAAGTCACGACACAAATAGCTATATGAAGTTGGAATATTTTGAAGAAATTAGGTGATTAAGACATTAGTGTGAAAGGAATTATCAGCAAGTAAATTGAGGAGATTAGCGCTTTCATTTTTGACGGTTTCGAAGCTTTTTCTAATAACTAGCTCTGTATTTGACTCTTTTATCTTCAATCAACCGATCCTTAATTCCCATGAGATGGTTGATTTTTCTAAGCCTAACTGTTCACAATAAGTTATTAGCAAAAATCTGATGTGTGAGCCCATATTGAATTTATTCTGCTAGGAAACGAAAGCTGTGTCTTCATTTGATTCAAGGGTAGCAGCTCCATTTTCGAAAAATGCTCTGCTAGATGAATTTTCAAACGTAGTGGACCATCAATTGGAGAACGACTTGAGGGTGTCCTCAATAGCGACGCAAGAGACAGAAACTCGTGGAAAACCACAGTATGAAATCAATCCATCATTGTTGCCACGTAGAAGTGAAGATTTTCCTGTTGTTACTTCTGAGATGGTCATTGACGATAATTTCGATGCTGAACTTGACTTAGCGTACACAAGTATGAATTCAAAGGGCGATAAGCTAGCGGAATACGATGATAAGGATTTTGAAATTGGCATGTCAAGATTACAACGTGAAAGTTCCCCATTAGTTCAACAATCAAAGTATGGAGCTAAAAACTCAAGGACTGAAAATCCTATTGTTCGGTCTAGAAATGAGAAACCAGAATCCAGAGATAACAGCCCAAAAGCTGGCCTACCACCCTCTGTCATGAACGAGACTGATCTTAACTTTCTTCTTGAATGCTTTCCAGATTATGAAAATGACGTTCTAAAGTCTGTCTTCATGAGGTTCGATGGAGATATCCAACGAACTTGTAACGAAATTATGGAGCAGCCACTCGTAAAAATGAGTGCTTTTGACCGTCTGCAAAGCATTAATAAAAGTTTTATTGATGACAAAGAGAAAGTTGAGTTTGAAGAAGATGTGTCTGAGCAAACAAAAGGAGGTCCAGTTTTCTTGCATGTTAAACCCCAGGTCGACTCCGCTCAGAAATTTGGCAACTTTGCTATTTGTCTCGACAAAACATTTGTGATTGAAATGAAGAGAATTCTGGGGGAAGGAGGTATATCTGACCTTTAATATAATTGAATTGTATATTCTAGAATGTTAACTTTGTATTGTATTATGGTAAATTAGATACTGGGGTTTAATGCACTGAAAGGCCCCAGAAATCAAATTCCGACTGACGTTCGAGCAATAGGCAAAGCTCAGTCATTGTGGAATTACTTTTCTTTCCTAACGGGATTATCAATTAAATTGAAGATGAACAATAAATCTCCATTTTTTATTGCATTTTAAAAATCAGTCACTGTGAATGTAATTAAAAACTATACACTCAGTTAACTGGGAGTTTTTTTGAAAAATATCAGCGATTGCCTAATAAATAATTTTAGAAATAAATCAAAATTTTAAATGACTAATGTGCAGTCTGGGTCAGACTTAGGAAATACTGGTTTCGCTAAAAAATTACAATGCAAACCGGACCAGTGTTCGCTAATTCTGCGGTATAATTGTCATTGGTATAGTGAAATGATTTACTTATTCAACATTGAATTTGACAAATAGAGTTGTAAAGCTCTTTGCGGCGTTCAAAGTTAAATTATGTCACAGTGAGATGCAAGAGACATCCCTTCTTAGATATAATGATATGGTAAAACCTTTTTTCAGTTTGGGTTTTGTTTCTAGTTAAAGATTAGCTAATTTTATACCTATTATTTACAATTTACAATATGCATATGCAGAAAAGGAAAGAAGATGTTGAGTTAACTAACTGGAACAGGTATTAAGTGCAAATGTACCACGTTGACATCCATTCCAAATGCTGCCTTTAATCATCCAGCCTTTTATACTAGCCTAGACGGGGCCTTGTTTATAATACTAACTAGGGGGGGGGGGCAGTTGCCCACCCAGCCTTAGTGACCTTCCATTGATTACAACAATAGGCTATTTTCCTCCTCTTTATTGAAACTAAGGTTGACTCCTAGCTGATTTCACGAATTTTCACAAGGGACGTTCTTAATTTTAAGTCATCACTAAGGGCATCCCACAATATCAGTATTCTCATTGAGAAAGCTGCCGAAGGGCGGCAAAAATTCTAAAAATTCGTTATGAACGTGTAAATGTCTTTTTAATTATGGTTTTTAAACAATAAAGGTAACAAGTTACCTAAATATAATTTGTCGTATAACACATGAAATCTCGTCAAGTCATTGTCTCAAAATACCAGTGAACGAAAACTTTGAGCAATAGACTCCCTCTAAAGGATTGGAAATTTATTCCATATCGCTGAGAATTAATCTAGGGGAGCTCGCATAGTTGTTTAGTACAAAAATTATGGAGGATGTTGTTATAAATCAGGAATACCCACATGAAATCAAGTCTATGTCAACCAAACAAAACTTTTGTTTTGAATATATCTAGAGTTGTGCAAGCTAGTTGTTGAAGGCAAATAGATAGACCTTTTGAATAGAAGACACATCAGCATTTATTTTAATCAATAATACTTAATTCTTCTTTATCATTAACAAAATTTTATTCTATTGAAATGTTCAATGCCTTTTTAGATATATTTGAGGACGATGATTTCGACTTTCCTGTGGATGCCAAATTTGCTAATCAAATTTATCAACAGTGGCAGCGTCATTGCAAGGTATAAATCAGATAACTTTTAAAATCTGATATTATCGCTGGTATGATATTTCAAATCCTCGCTATTTCAAAAATTTGTAAATTTTTGCTTGTTAACCTAAAATCAAATCGTTAGCTAATATGGATTTTTAGTAAGCACAAAATTAAATCGGAAAGTTTTTTCATAAAGGTATTAAGTCGATTTTTGTTTTGTATCTATATGATTTATATCATTTGAAATTTTCAACCTATGCAAAACTTGTTTTTCGATTATTTTGTTGCAGGCTAAACGGAAGAGATTAGAAAATGAAACCATGAATGGTAAGGTTTATGCCTATATTTCTTAGACTGCTTGACGAGGATAAGGATATAACAGTCTAGACCTATATTAGTATAAGGAAGTTTACACTTTTTTAATTTGGCATTGAAAGCATCTGACGGCCTTCATCAAATTTGGATATAACAATGTTTTTCTTGACGCATAAGGGAAAATTCTAATGACCTTACTAAAGCCTTTTGCCTAAATCGAAAAACTCCTAGAGCAAGGAAAGTATAGGGTTTGATTTTTTCCTGTCAAAATTTTTTCGCAGTTGAAGTTACATTGCTAACATGGGCGAAGTGGCTTGGGTGCATGTGGACCTACAGCCTCTCACCCTAGAGAACCGATTTTGCTACTGTTTCGGAATTTTTAGGAATATTATGACTTCATTTGCCTAAAGGTTCAACTCCTGCGTTCCTGATTAGCAATCTAGATTTTTTTCTACTTTTCTTTCACAGATGAAGGAAAGCATCTTAGGATAGAGGAGGCCGTACATCAACGCCCGAAAAGGCCTTGCAGTTCTGAAAAGGTGCCAAGCGTGCTTGAAGAAGCACGGAATGAAGATAGGGAACGACTAAAAGGGTCTTTCAGTCCATGGGCCATATCAAAACCTCCAGGTAACTGCCTTTTTTGTTTGTTTTTGTTTATTTTGAACCGTAGATCGGCCTCTTTTCATCCTTTATTCGTTTAACTCATATTTTGTGATGCCCCAATTTTGAACGATATGTAACGGAATAGTTTATAGATTTGTAACGGAAATAGGTTGAAATTGAGAAGGCTAGGGCACCAGGAAAGTTCGAGAAGGATTGTCAAAAAAATTGAAGGAACACACTTTTAGAATTTATTTTCTTGTTTTCAAACGCAGGTGACAAAGTTGGTTTTTTCACTTTATAGATTATTTCAACCTATTTAGCTTTGAAAGTTAGAATTTGAAGAATTTAATATATGTATCCCTCGATATTCTTTATTTTTATTTAGGCATTTTTATTATCTCATTCCAGGAATAACGATTGATCATAAACTTCAGGTAAGATCTTTCTGTTACCTTGTTTTCTTGGCAACTCTGATTATTCATATCACATTTGATCTTCATCCCCATCTATTGTAATCCCAAGAAATCCAATTCCAGAATTTAGACAAAATTTAAAGAGATGAAAAGGTGTGACATTATTTGCCGAATAATAACAATTTTTAAAATGTTTGCATCATACCTGGCCAAATTTTCTAATATTGAATGCAGAAAGCCCGGTACTCATTGTTTTTGAATATCATTTGAATATGACTTTTTTTATAATGCCTGTGAACCAAGCAAACATTTTAAAACATACTTGAGCTTTTCTTGTTACATTCTTCAGAGTAAAAAACATCAGAATATTGACTGCAAATATAACCTAAGAAATATGCTCTCCGGAAGTTATATACCCTGAGGAGTGTCAGATAGAAATCTTTAATGTTAACTTTTATCAAAACCACTTTTTTATTTTTGCACCACCTTTACTATAACATGATCCTTCTTTTGAAGACATGACGTACTTTCATTTCGTTGTACATAAGTTTCATTTTATTGTTAATAGGGTTTAACTAATAACTAATAATGTATTTTTCAACGATAACTAATAATGCAAAATGAATTTTACAACTTATTAAGTTATTCTACATTTCACGGAAATGATAGTTTTCTGAGTATACTAGTATTTTTTACAATTATCACTAACAATATGATGATGATAAAACGAGTTGTGAAAATTGCTTTTCATTACTGAGGCAGCAAGGAGTGTCCTCCTCCTATATAGCTTTCAATGTACCATTGCAGCATTTATTTGTTCATTTTCTCACTTATCAACATTCCATCTGAAATTAAGTCTCTTCTAAGGAGCCGCGTAAGCCAATTTGGGACTCTAGTTTTGAGCGCTCGGAAAACAGACTGTACACTCTATTCCCGACAGTGGAAAAAGACGTTCTGGACAATATCTATGAAGCCATGGGGTAAACTATTGTATCTATTTCCGCTTTGCTCCATTTTCCTCATTTTCCCCTACTTTTGGTATTCGTGAAGAATACTTTTAAGAAAGCTTCTGTGTGGATGTTTAAATCAATTAATGATTTGAAAATCAAAAAGTGACTTGCATTCTATTCGTACCAAGACTTCATTGAATTCCACTAAAAACTGTTGTCCTGTTGTAATAATTTCGCTTTTTCCTATTCTCTTCTTTTCGAACATTTGATAGTTTTCTTTAGTCTGCATAGAAGCTGCTTGAATCCCAGATTTTCAAACTGGCAAAGAGCCAGGAAAATTCTGTTCAATTTTTCATCTTCTAGCAATGACGTCGAGGCGGCAATCCAAGCCGTTAAGGCTTCTTTGAATTACCAAGAACAGAATAAAAAGGCGAGTGGTAGCGAAAGAAAAGCAGAGCCACCCAGGCCCCCTGAAGAAACTAGGACAGGGTTTGTACCAGTTAGAACAATGGTAGGAAAAGACACAGTTATAAGACTTAAACCTGAATCTGAACCAATGTTAGAGGAAGGGCGCATTGCGTCACCCGTCCCTGTTGCAGACGATAAGTGGACGGTAGTGCAAGGAAAGAACACAAACTATGTGGATCTTACTACTGTTGCGGACGATGATAATTTCCAGTCATTGAGTGGGACATCTTACGCAGATTATCGTGCGGAGGCGCAAGCCCACGCAGCTATCAGGAAGGAATGGCTTCGCAAGGCCGCACAAGCTTATCAAAATAAGCAAGTGCACGTTTGGTCCTACTGCGCAGGCGAGGTAGCTATATTCGCTGCTTGCTTTTGATTTGGTTTGTATTACAACTGCGACTTTTCTTTGAAGCAAACTCCTTGCAACAGTATAATCCATTTTCCGTATATCTTCAAATTATCCCCCTGGAAGAGATTGCAGTTAACACTAATGCATACAAGATTCTTCTAGCTTTGCATCAGTTAAGGGGGCTATGTCGATATCTCGCTCTTTGAGTTTTCCTGTATTTCAAATGACAGCCAGCCTGAGCTATTCAATAAGTGTTTGCACTCATTCTATATAGAGACAATCTTACTTTTGCAGGCTCGCAAGCAGGCAGATTTAATGAAGGAGGCCAATGGAAGAGCTGCTGCTTTGATCTTTGAAAAGAAGTGAGTACCGTATCTTTATTGTACAGAGAACCTAACAACAAATGTATTGTCCCAGTCACCCTTTGATAGCGTCATGATGATACTTAAAGGTCCAAAGGCTCGTTTGAAGGATTTCTTTAACAGGTAATTTCAAATCTGAGTAAGGATTCATAAGAGAAATCCTCCAATTCCAGAGAGCTTTTGTATTCATCAAACCATTCATTATTAAGTGAATAAAGAACTCCGTACATGGTGTATTGACATTATTAATCCATCTATCTGTCTTTCTCATCCTGTACAATCAAAGGTGGTACTGTTCACATGGTATTATTCTTTGGTAGCTTTGAAGTCACCTCGAATGGTTGCCATCTATAATGACCCAAAATGATAGCCATTTGCTGATACTGGTTCGTTAGAGGAAACTCCCATTTATGTGGTGTATGATCACGCTGCGTCGTCATAAGAGTAAATGGAATGCTTTTTAGAACAGTAAATGGAATCAACAGAACGACTCTAAACAATTTGATTTCCATAAGTACCACTCGTCTTGAAACGATCGATTCTTGTATTAATCAAGTGACAACAGTGTAGGCCTATCCTGCCCGAAGCTTCTAGCTGCAAGAACTTCTTCAGCAGCAGAATCATGATGTCTTCGTTAGAGTTAGTTTGATCCATGATATCAAAATAGTTATTTTTCCTAAGGAAAGCTTGACTATGGCCTGAGTGAATATTCTTTGTGACCACGCACGGCACAGAAAATCAACAAATTATACAGAAACATAGGGCTCCAAAAGTCTAGGTCCTGCCCTCATGAATGAGCAAGACCTGAGGTCCTGCCATTTCTGAAGGGCAGGAGTGCCATTGTTTTCTTCTATTGTGAGGCAGGACCAAAAACAGGGCTACGAGGCGTTTGCCCATTGTTGGGCAGGACCAAACATGGGGTTTAGTCCTGCCTACGAGTATTGGGCAGGACTGCCCATAGGGCTAATTTTTCGACGATATCAACTTACTAATGGGATACTCGAAATTCCATTCCAGTCACCCTGTGTCTCAAAATTGAAAAAGGGCACAGCCACGAAGTACAAGTGTTGAATAAGACAAGAAATGCCTTTGAATCAGGCGTATAATGATTTCATAAAGGGAATCAATCAGGACAAGCAGGACCTTTGGCTTCGCCACTGCCCTCCTTGATTTTCTTTTGAACCCCTCTTTTTGGTTTGATATATCAACACTCCATACACCTCATAATACATTTCAATTTTAATATGTTCATGTACATATTTACAAGGTCGAATGCAAGCTTCTGATTTGTAAGTAACCTCATCCTACGTGGCTGGTTTTCATATGTTTTGTTCAACATTGTAGAAATACAACCCTGACTGATCCAACTTCGATTGACCTGCATGGCTTGCACTGCGATGAGGCCGTGGAAATGCTGGAAGAAACATTGTCCCAAGCAATGCAACGTATCGCTATTTTTTATGCTTTTATAGATGTTTTCTTTAATTTTATTTTATTCAACTCCTTGCTTGATTTCGAAAATCTTTAATCAATACTCTTTCTAAATTTATCATTTTGAAGGATTTTTTTTAAACTTTTTGTATTTTGAAATCCAACAGAAAATGGAATAAAAATGTATTGTTGTTGTAAATGAGGCTTTGCGTTGTTTTCATTCGATAGCTCTTAGGGCCTTTGTAAAATCAGGCTGCTTGCTATTGCAATTCTTTATAAAAAGGAGTTTTCTTAAACGGATAGCCGTATTCAATTCAATTCAGTTCAGTTCAATTCAATTCAAATTATTTCATAGTACACTTTTCTTAAACGGATAGCCGTATTCAATTCAATTCAGTTCAGTTCAATTCAAATTATTTCATAGTACACGACCATACAGGCGATGATGAAAATTCATATCCTGTGCCGCCAAAATGGAGCAGTGCTTATCTAGTTTAGGCCACTTAAAATTAAAAATGTTAGCAAAACCAGAAAACTAACAAAATAATGAAATATCTAAAATTCACAGAATACCAATAATTAAGCGTTAGCATGTTGGGATTTTGTAGTTTTGATTTCAAACACGGTGAAAGTTTATTACAAATTCGTGCTCCGGTATTTTTCCATTTTCTATTGGATTTCTTTATTTTGTACTTTGGTTTTGTCTGGTGTCATATTTAAATCTATGTTCACTGGTTGTAAGTAGTTTTGGAACTTTTTAGACAGTGTTTTGTTATTGTGAGTCACTTGATGTTTGATTTGCAAAGTCCTTATGCCAATTTTGCAAAGAATAGTTCTAAGATCTCTGCTAAGAGCTTTCTCTGACTATGTCAAGTCCCCTTTGCATAAACATTTATGTTTTTTAAAGATGCAACGAAGTGAAGATCTGTCGGTATTTTGGTCCTTTATCTCTTCCCTAACATATAAAGGACTGTTCTTTTCAGGTAAAATGCGATACATTGACATTGTAACTGGGCGTGGCTCCCACAGCAGAGGCAAGGTCCCAAGGGTAAAGAATTCGGTCATGAATTATCTCAAAGCCAATGGATTTAGGTAGTATGACTTGAATGCATACTTTAAAAATCTTTTCTCGAATAATGATAGAATTCATTATTTCGTTAAAGTTCATACTGGATTTTTATTAGCTAAAAACAAATTAACTAAAAATAGGATTCAGAATTCTCTGATTGTTGAGCATCTTTCTTCTCATCTTTCTTCAGGTTCGCTAAGGTAAACGATGGCTGCCTCAGAATTTTGTTGTGATAACGGAGTCTATTCTAGATCACCGGCGGCCTATGCGACTGCGATCAGCTTGGTGCCACCGGAACCCGTTACTATGGAGCAATTGATGCAAAAATCCTTATGCTGGTGCCCTATTTGCCAATGTACCCGTCTAGTTAAGTTGGCTGCGTCCTGGGAATGAAATATCTTAGCCATGACTTCCGGAAAGAGAGCTTCCACTTCACTTTAATTATGGGGTCTTTGCATGTATATAAGGGAGGCTCATAGTATTTCTAAAGGCGGGCTATTAAAATAGGCATCTCAAAGTAGGCAAACGATGTACATAGTATAGATAATGGAATTGTAAATAGTCTGTAAATAGCCAGTAATTTTGGTTTATCCAGAGTCAATCTTTTGATTTGATCACGTGCATAGCATGTACACGGTCACTTGCGTTTGAGAAAGAGACTATATTCTCTAAGATTTTTGTAACATTCAAAATTGCTTTTGACTAATACTTTTGTGGCTAACTAATACATGTTTGTGACAAATTATTTTAAGAATAACTTGATTTTAAAAATTGAAGTGTCAATGACACTAAATAGATTCTCACAATTGTTATGAAGATTAACCAAATTTCAGAGTGTTTTTCTCCTACAATAGTTGATTTATGGTTATTTTTTAAACAAATCTATTTTCCAAGCCATAACTTTTAAACTGCAAAAACAACTATGTTTTTGCTGTTAAGAGCTATTTGCACTCATAATATGATTTTCAAGTTCGTTTTATCATATCACACGAAAAAAGTCCGTTACAACACATAGACCTTTAAAATCTTTGCAAAAAATATGGTTTTCAAGAAAAGGTCGAACATTATCTCTCATGTTTTTAAAGCTAAATGAAACACAGCTTCTTTCTTCTTGAATTCACAATCTCATTCGTTGGTAATTCTCTTGTGAGAACTCTCCAACAAATTTTTCGGACGTGAAGAACCATGCTTGCAATTCAAAAATTAGGCTTCTTTACTCTAAAGTCTGTCACACTTCGTAGAATTTTCCTAGGTACACATCTACATATAAATAGCAGTTCTTCACAAGTTTACATTTTTGAACATCTGAAGGAGTCAAAATTTACAATCTTAAGTTCCAAGAATATATTTTAAAGTACTTTATGATTCTGTCTTCTGCTCAGTTACATATAGCAAAAATTATCGCCAGCCTAACTTTGAAGGGAAAGTTTCATTTTATCGCAGGTAGAAAAATGATTCCGTCACTAGAATGTTTGAGCCTCGTTAATCCCGTTGAATTATACATTATTAATTAGAATTTCAAAATATCTTACAGCGCAAACTTTATTTTCTAGATTACTTTCTAGTTAAAAATGGTGAAATATCATATTGTTTCAACGCTTTGAGATAAACTTTGAAAGGTAATTTTGCGCACAAGATGCTAGCTTATTAATGATCTTATTTCGGCTCACTTATCGCTCATTAGTGTTATTCTCTTGTCAATAACAAAATAAGTATTCTTTCATTACTAACTCTGCTTTGTTGTTTCAAGAGCTGGCCCTCAAAAAGCGGCATCACAAATTTCTTTGCAAGGCTGCTTGCGATTTGGCTCTAATATTTAATCAATAGACTCCGTCTCGTAACCGAAGGGCTTAACTTTAAATGAAAAGACAACAAGTAGTTTTTCTGTAAGCTCCCCTGTATGTTATAAGCTGTATCAACTGTATAAGCAGCTGGCAGCTGTATTAGGCCGCTGTTTAACCAAATGCCTATATTCGAGTAGGCATTGTTCTACTCGCGTCATAAATATTTGCTCCTGAAATGGAGGTATTTTCGTTGATAGTATAATTCTTTCATTGCAGTTTAGCAATAACGAAAATGATATATGCTTAAACTTATTTTCAATACTCTAAACACCCTAGCGGGTGTATCCAGCTAAAATGAAACATGTTAGAAAACATCAAAATGTGAAGTATCTCATTTAGGAGTCTGAATGAGAACAATATCGTCTTTATCTATGTCATCATCGGTATATTTCATGTTATATATTACATGTTATATATTATATGTTATATGTTTCATGCCTTTTTCTAAAAGTCAGGGGTGCCACTGACCATAGCTTATCTCCGCAGAATAGCTGCGCACGAGTTTAAAAGTGGAGAGGCTGAAAAGAGTGTGCCCAAAAGATTTATCAGGCCACGCCTTCTAGAACGCCGAAAAACGCCCCTTAGATAGTACTTGCTTGTTTCTACTCAATTTTTATAAACATCCTGGTGCAGAGAAGATATCAATAACTATAAAATGGATAAATTTAGCTTGAGGGTAATAAAACACCAAGCTAACAAAGAACTGCTACAACATAGGAGTAAACTAACTAAAATTGCGTTAGAGAAAACCTTCAAAAGTTTTCTAACCTATTATTACAAAGAAGTGAGGGGGCTATAGCCCCTGCTAGCCCAATGGCTGCGCGGAGCCTGGGCTCAACACCCCTACCCTTTCATTTTGAATTGAATGTCAGTCGTGCTGTTAAAATATAATACCACAGTTACTAAGCAGCAAATTTTTTACCGCCGAGCCGCTTTGTCACATGAGGAACAAAACTTGCCAACCGCTTACCGCTTTGCCAACTTACTGTCGAATTGGTTTTGACCGCAGAACAAGCATCTTCAAACGAGTGAAACAGGCATTTTACCACTTTACTAATTTTTTACCATAGAACAAGTATCTTATCGTCAAATTTTTTTGTTTACCAAAGAAAATGTTTACAAGAGAATAAAATCTTATCAAAGAATGTTAGACATTGCCAGAGAAACCGGTTTATGACTGATTCGCCATTTATTAGGTGTTTCTTGTTAAGAAAAAACTGTTGTTATTCGTATTCGTTATTCGTAGAATCTCTGTTAAGGGAATTTGCTTGGTTTCTGACATTTTTATAATATGTCATTTTAGAGAGTGATTTATCTTCTATCTCTGATTTTTTGAGATTATCTCTTTTTCGCAAAAGTTTCATAAGCTCAATAGAAACCAAGCTTCAGGATTTTTCTGAAACTTTTATTTTGTCAAAATTTTAACTTCAGTTATAAAACATGCTTGTCAATCAAACTGTAAAGTAGAGAAGACCATTTAAGAAAATCACCAGCTTCGTCGACATTCATAAACAAAATGAGAGTTCATCAACTTCGAAGTAGGTCAATGCAATCTGTTCCCCATTCAACATGTATCTTCCTGCTGCAATTTTTGTCACCTCGCCATGAGACCGAGGTTTGTGACCAAGGACCAAGTATCTTACCGCTGAACCGTTGTGTCCCCAGATAAAAATCTTAACGCAAAGCCTGTATATGACCAAATAACCAATAGACCGTTTTGTCACCATAGAGACAAAATTTCTACAGTTGTGAGTTTTAATTAAGAGTTCAACAATTTATCTCCATAACGTTTGTTTACCTTTGGGGCACAGAATACAACAGCTGTATAAAATCAATCGAAGAAATACTTGGATGGATGGATGTAATTTGATAGATTTTTGATAAACATATTTCTTTCAGAAAAACCGATATCTTTCTTTATAAGAAAAATTACTAATGGCTCTCGATGATTTAGCATCTTTTCTAGTACAGTGTTAAAATTCTAAGAAACTTTGTAAATTTCTTTTTTGCTTATCATCCTAGCAATTTCAAAGTTCAACACCATCTTTACAAATTTCGTGTCCAGTAGAACCATTAAAAAAAGTTCGAATTAGAAATATTGTTTCCGATTTCTTGAATATGTAATTTATGCTATGAAAGTTTTATCATATTTAAATAAATTTGCATTGATTATTAGATATATTGTCATAATATGGATTATATTGTTATTAATAGCCTGGCTAGCATTAAGCGAAAATCATGAACATTATTGTCAAAACTTATTTAATTTTAGTTATTTCATGAGACAAGCCAGTAAGTTTGAATCTAAAAATCACGCACAACTTCAAAATTAATTTTGTTCTTTCTTGATAAAAAACAATTAAAAAATTGTTACTAGCAAAACATCGAAAAAATCAGGAGCTCTTTAAAGCTAGATCCTTGCTTTGTTTTTATAACAAAAAAACATCCGGATTTGGTTTAAAGTTTGATTTTATTTTTCTGAAAGCAACTGTTTCTTTTGGAAATATTATTAAGCCTTTCACATATTTAGTGCTAATCTTTTAAATATATTCTGAAGCAGCTACATTTTGCCTGCTGAAGAATATAATACACGTTCGCATTAATCAGAAATTACTCCATTAATCTTAAATCGAATGTTACTAGGTCCTTTTATTGTATCCATCTTTATCGTCGAAATTTTACGTATAAAAGCACTGAATTTCCTATATTTAGCCTTTACGAAGCATTAAAGGTCAAAAGATGTTTAAATTATAATTATGCGACTTTACCTTGGGTTATAACAGCTTATTTCTAACCGTTTTTCATATCTTGCAAAGGTCCTTCAGTTAAAACACCAAAGAACAAAGACAAAGAGCAGATGTATGATATTCGAGGTTTTCATTCAGGCTACCCTGTTAGAAATTTGCTAAATTACTGACCGTTTCACTTATCAATTTTTTTCTCCTCGGCGTCGAGGTTTACTTCTCCGAATCATCTTTACTCGCCTGAGAAAACACCTTGAATACAACTTCTCAATAATTTTGAAAACCAGCTGCAAGAAGGATCTTAACTTTTGCTTATTTTCTTTCATTGTCACATTCTTACCGACTTAGTCGCTAGGAGAAAGTCATTTTTCTCTCTTTTCTAGGTTTAGAGGATCAGCATGACTTCAGTCGATTTCTGCCTTCCTTTATTAAATCTCCGTCCACAAACATCGCATTTTCCACCTTTTCCCAGTATTATAAATCCGTGTACAGACAGTTAAGCGTATGTGGCTGAATATTTCGCTCCGAAAGCTTTGATTTTCTGTTAAAGCGAGAGCGATTGTATTGGGAAATTATCCGCCATTCGGCAGTTACTTGTGATCTTGTTTTTGTATGGGTGACGTAGAGTAATTGAAAAGCCTCGTGTTGGTTGTGAAAGACACTTCTCCCTTAATCCCCTATGAAGTCGACATTGCTGACCAAACGAATTATTGTTATATAGGACAGCTGTTAGTACAATTTGAACATATTAAGACGAATTAAAATTGAGTGGCCGAATGACTTTCAAATGATTTTTTAAGTAAGAGGGCCGTGGTCAGTAGTGTCCATTGATCTTCAGTTGATAGAGGTTGGGGCATACCGCAGGATAAGACGCCTCTTAGAGTGACAGACGGTAAGGACTGCAAATTCCTTTGGTTATATTTGTTTCTTATGAACGTATTTTTAGGCTAACGGAGTCTCTGTTCCATTTTTTCCAGTTTTTTCTATGAATGTCATTCTTTCAGCATTGATGCCCTCAAAATCTCGATAAAAGTTGGCTAAAACCATCACTATTTGATAGCTTTTTGAGCCCGTTAGAGTTACTCTTTAATAAAAATATGGAAGATTGTGCTTGTTAATGCTGATTGTGCTGAAGATGCATGCCAGTTAACCAGCAATGAAACTGATCTAATAGATTGTAGAGGAAATTTGCGTATGCCGTGACATGAGTATCGAGTATGCCGTGACATGGGCATTCAATTCAATTTGAACAGCTACGGAGATTCAACAACACAAGAAATCTAATTTATGTTGCAAACTGCAATCATTGTCAACTTTACATTTTGAAAAGGCATAACTTTTTATCACTTTCAGTACGGAAGCATTGACAAAAACTTTTAATTACGTCTATTTCTAGCCAAATCATGTTGTATTCGCTCTAGCTAAATCAAGTATTTCCTACAATTATAAACGTTTAAACCGAAATATTAATTAGTGAAAAGATTTCCTGTCAACTGCCAAACAGATTCTTTCAATAATCCTTTAATTCAGATTTTTGCTGCCATTTTTGTTATAGTATTGTTAATTTGCTTCATCTAAACTTTCCACTTCAATTTACCATTATTCAGATAACAAGAAAAGCCTACATTTTTCCAAAAATCCCATTACCTAGGTAATGGGAAAACACTCCTTGAAGCTTAAGTGCTCCCATCTTAAATGCTCCAATGCCACAAGCATTGTGGTATTCTAGGCAAGGCTTCTCTATATTTGCCAGGAGATCGGATTTTACAGTGCATCAAAAGGCTGATGTTGATAAAATCAAAGAAAGCTTTTATTTATGCATTGGTTTTGAGTCAGGACTTTTGAACGATTGCACGTTTAAATAATCTTGAAAAAGAATTATTTGAATTCTCAGAAATGTCACACTTTGCATTGTGATTAGAAAATAATTCTGATGGCTTAAATGAAAGAATGAATACTGAACTCCGAATACAGAAATTTTCTTCCTTTCCCTTTATCTCAACGATAATATATTGTTATATTGTGAAAGATCAATAACAGAGCGAATTTAAATATTGTCGAGTGATACTTTTAGGCTTGATACACTGTGAGAAACAACCTCATGTTTATAAAAATTTTTAAATTCATACCCAGAATGTTTCTTTTGAAAAGTGAACATGTCATGGTGGTTTGAACTTGTGAAAAGTGCGGTATTTCTAGGTAAATATAGGAATTTTATGGATAGATAGCATTCAACACTGATGGTTTGTATAAAAACCACGAAAGAGTTACGGTTTTAATTTGGTTTGAAATCTATATAGGAATTAGTCAGTAATGTAAATTGAATTTCTGCAACGCGAAGCATAAAATAAAACGAGGCTCTATGAAGATCATGCAGTCGAGGTTAGAATGAAATGATTGCCCGTACAGTCGTAAGGAGAGTTCAGAGTTCATTTACTTTAATATATATTTTACAAGAGAAAAATGATAAATTTGAAAACAATTAATCATTAGAATAAAAAGAAAAAAATATTTATGAACATAAGAATATTAAAAAAATACCTGCGTTTTAGAGGAAGACATCGAAACAAGGAAAATTATTTAAATCGCTTTCTTTACAGCATAAACATGATGGATGAGGTGAATTCCCAGAGAAGCAAAGAGACGATCAAACTACTGGACTTCGCTAAGTCAGTCACTGAAAACATCAAATGCGCCCTCGAGAAAACAAATAAGGCAAGCAAAAAGAAGGCAAATCACAAAAAATACATTCAAAGAAAATGTTTTACAAAACCTGGTATGACCAGGAAACCAAGCAGACGAATCTCTCGAAGGATTCTAAAGGGTGAAACGACCGTGCCTCTTACCAGCGATGAAGGCTCGACATTTCTTGAGGAAGAGAAAAACTTTCAGGCAATGTTAGATAGGGAATCAGAACTATTCTATGCGTCCTACCTATACATGAAAGAAAATAATAATTTTTCTGGACATCTAGACTATCTAAGTTACACGACAGAACAAGATTCAATGCCACAGTATTCGAATTCACACCATCATGTAGACATACCACAGTTGCAATCCATGGAGCATCCAGCATATCGCACGTGGCCCTCTACGTATGAAGGACAGTATCCCCCAAAACTGAAGCATTTCGATTACGAACAAATCTGGATGAGCCAGCAAAGAAACCGCTCAGCCTTGCCCGACAATGCTTTCCTGACCATGCTGTATAACGAAAGTTGTCCGGACTTTTGTAACCAATCGGAATGGCAAAAGATGCCAAGTGAAATGTACTTAGGAGATATGTATCATAGCAGAGAAATACCGCTTTTAATGAATGCAATGACAATGTCCCAATAAGATATTAACAGAAGAACTGACATAATGACTGTGGATTTTCTTAACTAGAGGAGATGGGACTTTTACTATATGAACTTCTGAAATCCAAGGATACTTGACCAGTAGAAAAGACGATACAAACCAGACGAAATAAATGTTGGAAGAGTTTGTCCTTGTATGGAAGATCATCTAACTTTATAAAAACCTCTTGCACTGCATAACCATTTATAGTATTGGTCATATTTTTTCTGTAAACAAATATCATTTCCATGAAATGCAATATGATTTGATATTTTTAGGACGGGGTAAAACTGGTTCCTAACATGAAAGATTCAAAGCTGAAACATTGTGTCATTTGTTCTAGAGTTACAGCTTCTACGACAGCTTAAAAGCAAGTAAAAAACAAATGATCAAAGATCAGGGTGATTTATCATTTAAGTGTACTACTTTACTATGTGATTTTGAAGCTTCTTTCAGTTTTGTTTCTTAGATTCTTTCTTAGAATATTGAACCAAGGCAATGTGTTAATTTATTACCACAAGTTCAGTCAGTGGCGTCACCACCTCGAAAAAATTGGGTGGATAAAAGCAAATTTTCTTGACCTCTCCCTACAACCACTTGGAAAATCCTTTCTTAGTATTATTTATCTATTTTGAAATATTTGGACAAGTAACTTTCTCAAGCAGCATTTTAAACGGTGGCTTTTTTGCCAATGCGAAAATCGAAATCGTTCTGATCAAACCAATTCCCCCCCCCCTCCGGCTCTCCCGGCCAAGTTTTTTTAAAGACTTCGATAAATCATGAAATCGACTTTCGGGAAAACTGCCACATCGTGGCGACGTCACTGAGTTCAGTTAAGTCAGCGTCATTTGAAACATGTCAGAAGTGGGGGGCCTAAATAAATATATGTGGTTAGACACCCGCTATCGAATGCCACGCCCCTGTGCAAACTTGGAGATATAGTATACTGTAGCTCTATTATAGGGATGGTGTTGATATTGCGCTTACAGCATAGCAGCGTACGTAGCCTAGATAGGAGTTGCAAAATAAAGTCACAGAGAATTTAATCTTACTTGAGCGCAACAGGAGTTCGAATACTGGATCTTGGTAGCGAAATGCAATAAAGTCTCCCTGACGGGGTCCAAGGGCAAAGCCTTAAAAGCTCTCCCTATTTTGAGCCAACTCTCTTTGAAAGTTGCTTCAAAATTTTAATTGGATTTAAAAAGAGAATCATTAGCACCCCACGGCCACCCCACCTACGATCTTATAATTAATGTTGAAACATGGTAGAATTTAATTTCCAAAATAAATTGCCTTTTTATGTCTTTCTTTGCAGCCTGAGAATTCTTTCACAAGGAGTTCGAGACCTCAAAATTTTGATCTATAATTGTTTAGTATTAGAAGACAGTTATACCTTTACGCTGTGATACAGTCTTTATTACTTTCTTTTTTGAATAAAACACACATCACAAAGGAAGCTTTACTGAACATTTCATTTTAGGGAAAAACCACTTTTTCTTACAGCAGCGGTACCTTTGCTAACAAAAGACCAGATTTTTCTGATGAATAGGGGCAGTTTTAGCAAGTTTGAACAAAGTACAGAAAATGACCCCCATTGGACATCTATGAATTTGAAAAACCTCTTCCTTATTTGTAAAGATTTCATGACAGTTTTATTGCTTTAGAATGAGAGGCTTGTTTAGCAAATGGCAATCCTTCTCTATCGAAGTGTCTTAATCTTGTACATTTTAAGATATTTTACATTGCAAACCTGTTTAAGACATTTTCCCTTCATCAAATCTGATATACTAAGAAAGAGAAAAATAAAAGAAAAAAAATTGGGTACGCAATGCTTTGAGCATTAATCTGGAAATTCTTTTATAGCATGTTTCCCAATAACGCCGAATTAAGGCTTAGCCTCTAATTTTCATGTTGAAGCTTGCAGGTTCAAACTATTAATGAAGATAGAGGCTAAGAACGGGAAACGAGGAGTTGTCTGACTATAGCTGCTAATTTTGCTTTAGATTTTTAGCCTAGGAAATTTTGAAACGACGCTTACTTTTCTGACGGAGATTGGTCTTGGGTAATTTTCCAATTTGTCTCCTATGGGTGCACTAGTCCTTGAAAAATCTCAGAATAAATGTGAAGTGTGCAGTGAAGTATGTAGAGAATCTACATAAAAAACAGGGGTATAGTGCTAGGGGGGCTCATGGGGCTGGTCCCCTCTGTTAATGCCGAGAAGTAGGCAACTTGTATTTCTCCTATTGTTTATTGCAAAATTTCAAAGCAAGTTCCTCTTTTGATAGCACTACACCCCCTGATAAAAAGGTTAGCTCTGTCAGAGAACACTGTATGCTTTAACTTTGATATCAAATTCAGAGCCATCTGAATGACATAGGTATTAAGGGGTGCTACAGGAAGAAAGACTGTGATTCTCAACTCATGTCTCATTAATGAAGATATTGGAAAAATAAAATTTTTCTCAAATATCCAGGGAGAAAGCGCTAGTCTAAAAGCCTTACATTCATAACGAGCCTAAAATTGTTTCATGTTGTAATAGATAACAAAGTTTTAAGCACATTTTTCAGTGGTTTTAAACATGTTGATGCATGAAAAGGCCTGTCGCTCTCCGGCATAGTAAGTCTGGCCCAGTAAGCCATACAAATGGATTATGTTGTGCATTCATCTCATCTATGCGAAGTACACATTTGTCGCTGTACGAATTCCAACACATATGCTGAACAACATGTACTACGGAGTAGCCACTGCCGGTTAAGAACCCCGTTCGCGCCTATTCATTAGGTAGCAGCTAAAGACCTGCCACCTCAATCGAAGAAATCCTATTAAAAAGATTACTTAGATTAGAAAACCTAAAGGCTCGCTTATCCCCAGAAGACCAGTTGCCACCAGAGTCCATTTCTTTCTATTTGAGCATGTCCTGAATAGGAAAAGAATATGTACATTCACCAGCGGCGCGTTGTTCTGGCATTAGAGAAAATCAGCAAAATAAGAGATGTGGATAATTGAGTATTGAGGAGGAATTTTCTCAGTAAGCGCTCACTACATTTAAGAAGAGAGGGCGCCCACTACATAAAAAGCCAGCATTTTTTCTGACGTTTTTAGAATGATAAAGCGTTTAGATTTGTTTGATGAAAAATAAATATTTCAGGCAGGCAAAAAAATTTATAGATGATATCTTTTTTAAAACTGATGTGTTTTCTATTGCCGACAAAAAAGATTACAGAGGAGAATTATCTATTCATGTGGAAAATGTTTTTTCATGATTTAGCACCTGAATATCTATACAATAATGAGCAATATTTGCAAGTATGCTTGTAAGATAATCGCATGAATGGAGCTCTAACTTGCCTGCAGACTCAACGTTCTCTGACGCGATATTTATTTATTTCGCAATTCAAGTAGCGTTCTACAGCAGCCTTGGTATTTTCATCAAACAGAAAGGGTTATTTTCCTTAGCCAGACCTGTTGACAGCTTTTTTAGGGGGCTCAGACAATAAATTGAGATTGGATCACTACAAAAGCCGGGAATCAATTTGATAATCGAAAATGTTTTAAACGAAAAATGAAATATTCAAATTCAGTTTAAAATCTTGCTGAAAAGCAGGACTGTGAAAATCAGTTAAACGCGTGGTGCCCCTTAAAAGCGAGTTTTCTTTACAAAATTCTCAGTTTAACTACCTTTCAGGATCCAACGGTTTCCAGACAATTTCTTTCTTCCAGCAATTCAAATTTTGATGCAAATGTTATGCCACCCAAAAATAAAACCTGTATTCGCATTTTTTTCAATGCAACTTCCAAATTACAAAGAAAACCGTTGCCGCAAGAAGCATAAAGAAAATTAAGTTCATTCCCAGTTTCCCACTGTTTTGATTCTCTTTTCGAAAAGATTCGATTTGAAAGCAATTAATAAATAATCATTTTCAATATGCTTATTGTTAGCTTCTCAATTTCTTGTGGTTATTTTGTTTTGTTATTTACGGTAAGAATCCAGATTAGCTTAGTTTTCGAGTTCATGATTACCTACCAATATTACATTTCTGGCTTCACTTTTCCAAATACTGACAGAGCACCAAGACAAAGTAGCAAAGCTTTTGAAAAATATTAAATGTCCACAAATATTATCAATGATTGATATTTTTATGACAAATTAATTTAGAAATCCTTGTGTTCACTTTGCAATTTCTTTATAAATGGCAAAGGATTTCCATGAAGAGGCGTCTTGCATATAAAGCTTTATCCTTTCGTGAAACTTGCAAATTAAGAATCCAAGAATTCGTTATCTATCTTTTCGCTCTGTTTTTTAATGATAACAATTCAATATTGTTAACTGGGATTGATTCCGGATTTAGTTAATCTTGACCCGGATTTCCACAACATTCTTTTCGCCAAAGCGAGTCTGTTGTTTTTTTTGCGGCAAACATGGCGGTCAGAATGCCGTGAGTAGAATACATGACTCTGTAGTGGATTGATAAATAAAGAAGAACCGATCCCAAGTATGACCGAGGCAAGACGATGCGAGATTTGTTTGTTAGATGACAGGAAGCTTGAGATACTTGTACAGGTATTTATTTTTGGCAGCCGTTTTTACTTTGGTGTCTAGCTGGTAGGCCTGTGAATTTTTTTGCCAGGACCGCTAATCATTGGTCTAATTGATGCCTAGAGCGTATTTCAAGAATTTATTGGGACTACCAATGAAAAATTTCCACTCACAAACCTCAGTTTCTATAAATTTTTTCAGCCAATTTTAGTGCTGGAAAATCTTGTTAAATTAATTTATTTCGGAACGTTTTATTTTTGTTATCAGTTATTAGAACTGTTCTTCTGCTTCGATCAGAACGGTGGCATTCAATCAGGTCAAAACACAATTCACTTAGAAAATTTTTGTTTTGCATCGAATAATTGTTAGTGTGCAGTATCTGCTGGAGAGTAGATATCTGTGGCTGAACATAATCAAACAAGTTTTCTTTAACAAAAGAGTATTTGAATTGCGTCCGCGGTTGTAAACAAATCCATTTGGTTTGATAACGAGATAAAGTTTCACACCGAAATTGTCAAGTAGTAAGGGTTTAAGTGCATGATTACTCTTGGATTTTATAATAATGAGAAACTAGAAGGACCAAAGAACAGGAAATGGATAGATTACTACGTATTTCACAGAACGCCCCTACTTCCGAATTTCTTTTATCATGCGTGGAAGGAAATTACAAATTAAACAGTTTTCAACCTTTGCCTAAAGCTGCTATTTTCAGACACTGTATCTTTCAGATATTGCTGCTGTACTTAATATATGCATAAGCAAGACTGAAAACACGCCTGTTCTTCATTAGAGTTGCCTGCAGTAGTAGTTTGTTAGTTTGTGTCAGGGTTCACCAGGGCCTCCCACAAAGGATTTTTCAGAATCTTTTGTTATGGTTTTGAAATTTTCCTTTGGCCAACCAACTTTCCACCCTGCGTTGGAGCCCATGTTTACCACACCACATCTTAATAAAAAAAGGTCAAGTTAATTTCTCCCAATTCACTGTTGAATATGAGTATTCCTACACAGGAGGACTCTAAATTATGCTCAGTAGTGTGAACTAAGTTGAGAAATGGTAGCATCTACATTCCAAAAGATGAGACAAACAGTAGGCTATTGTTTGGCAGAATATCCAAAGGCAGCTTTGAATAATCTGTTTTATTCAAGCAGATATTAAAGAGAGCTTAAAATGTCACATTATTGTCAGCAAATTCATTAAATATCTGTTTTTGTCACAATTTCACGAAGAATGTCTAAAAGATAAAGTCAAGTAGTATACAATCATAAAATATTTTATTGACTGCCTTATTTAGCTGAATCCATTTTTGTAAGATGACAAGGCTCTAAGAAATTGCTCGACTTGAGTTTTTTCTTTCAAATTTTATATTACCTCTAAATGAAATTGATAAAAAATGCAAACTTCTTGAAAGGAACTAAAATTTGCTTCAAGATGTATGCAGTTGATATGTCATATACATTTTGAATGCAACAGCCTTTTTGCTCCTAATTGGTTATATATGCATTTGGTAATTTAATAATTCTTTCTTTTGTAGCCAAAGCTCCTTGTAAAAGAGCTTATCGATATAGCAGCATCCCATTTTACACTCAGGGAGAAGGAATATTTTGGATTATGGTACATGGATGGAAAGTGAGGCATTAAATATTACCTATAATGGGAATTGTATTTTCATTTTTTATGCCATAATTCTTTGTTGGTTATATCTGATTCTGGTTTGATTCGTGATTCATGTTTCCTGATAAAATTGGCCACTAGAGTTAGGGCTACCTTTGAGGGTATGCATGCACAAAAAACTTAAAAATGATGATCAAATTCGAAATCCTAAATATTTTTAAATTGGTCTTCTTGTATATTCTAGAAATATACATTCAAAAATAAAATTTTTTTTATTTGAAAATGTTAAGTTTATTTCTTTTAGTCATGTTAAAGTTTATAATCCTACCATGATGTCTTCAGGGGGAGGTGGGGTGATTCCTTCTTTTTAGGGTTAGATTTCAACTTCAGTCTCTGAGGATTCTTTGGCCCATTTTTCTATCAAGGTGCAGAAAGAATTCTTTTTGCAAGTTTTTGTTGTTTAAGTTAGAAAGAAGAAATTTCACCTTCTCGTATGAAATCTTTCAATAGGGTGAAAAGAGGGAAACAATAGAATTAATGTTGCTACTGTATGAGCTGATGAGTTGTAATTCTCTATTTTCTAAAACCTCCATTTTGTAAATTGAGGAGGAGAAACTTTGTATTGTATTTAACTTCTGTGCTTTGCAGGAACCAAAAACGATGGCTCAGAGATGAAAAGAAAGTTTTAGAACATGGATTCTCAAAGACTGTAGCTGTAATCACCCTGATATTTGGAGTACGGTGAGTTTTAGTGTTCTACAGTTAGGGGCAAATGTTACAGCTAGTGTGTCTTTATCCAAATATCAAAAAGGAGGAGTGAGGGGGTGGGTGTGGCAAAATCAATTCTCAGTCGACAAATCTGAAAAATATCTACATTATTACTTATTTTTAGCTAATTGCAGATGCCAAGGATGAATCCAAAACAATACCAAAGGTTTAAAAAATCTATTGATAAATCTTGTGCATCAATTTGATTTAATTTTCAGGCTTTATGTCCAAAGCATCACCCACTTGAAGGATGCTTCAACAATTGAGCTCTTCTTTCTTCAAGCTGCACAACTGATATACCAGGTAAGATACCATAGTTAATATTTTTTATGAAAAATTACGAGACATGTAGTTTGCAATCTCATCACTATATGCAATAACGCTAAGCTACTCAACAATATGGTAGTTGAAATCCTTAAAATGGCATTTCGAAGTTTACTTGTATGTTGCCTTTTAGTTGGTAGAAAAAAGTATTAAAAACCATGTATTAACAGTCTAGAAACCCGTAAGCTAAAAAATTGCATTTAAGTGACCATCAACCACTTAAGGCACATTTGGTCATATGTTTTGTACATATATCTACTATGTAAAACTGGTCTGCTCTGGCAACTATTATTGTTCAAATATATTTGTTTTAAGTCTAATGAGCAAAAGCGATGGGCTGGCTAACTTCCCTAACAACATTTGATGTTGTTGGTCTTCTAGAAATTTAGGCGCTTGTCTCTGGTGCAAGAAATTGCTATTTTGCATCCAATACATTACAATAATTCGCGCCTTGTAGTTGATTTGCGTTTGACAATGGGCAAGGCATTCCCTGTGGAAAAGAGAAAGGGCGTGTGCAACCGGTCCACATTGAGAGCACACTGTGTCACCAAAACCATTCTCTTTCTCGTTATTCAATGCAATTATCGGAATTCGAGAGCTTGAAACAAAAAAGGAAGCAATAAGTCTCTAGGCCACCCTAACGCTGCTTTTAGAAACAATTGTGGCCTGAATCAAATCAAATGACACAACTTGGTATGTCCCCATACTCCATTAGAAGCACGAAGACCACATACAAAACTTATCTAGTAGTATTCGTGAATTAGTTTTTGAGATAACAGTTTCTTGAAGATACTATGAAATAATAGAGAAATGGAGTTATTCGTAGCATACTTCAGCACTAACAAACTTACTTAGTCTGACACTCCACGGAGTATAATCATCAGATGATGACGTTATCCAAGCAGAAATCTATATCCAGCTGTGGATCGAAACTAACGAGAGAGATAAATGACGCGTTTGATTGATTCATCGTTTTTGACCAATCAGTCACTGCTATTCTCGCACATTGTTGTTCAAGAGTTCAAGAGATTCTGTATAAATCAGGACTTCTGATTTTAAATACCCCAACTGCTACTGCTCCATACGTATATACTCGATTTTCTTTCAGTATATTTTAAATACCACAGTATCTTGGTAATAATAATAATAATAATAAGACCGTATTTATACAGGTAAAATTGTTCAGCAAAAATGAGTTTGCTGCTATCAACCAAGGTAGTGCTATCATCTTTATATGTACCGGAGCATACAGGCAATGTTTTTGTTTTGTTTTTAGGATGAAGTTGAATGTGATACAAAAACAACTTTTTTGCTTGCTGCATATGTTTTACAGGTATGTCAAATCTAAACTGAAGTATATGGGCAGAGATTTTATGTGTAAGCTCGAACTACGTCACCTGGACCAGCTAGTGATTCGGTGCACGACTGTGTAGACCAAGTAAATAAACCTTGTTTTTACAGTCAGACGCACACTTTGACGTGAGCAAAATGCCATAAATGCTCTCCTGTGCGGCAGCCATTTTTTGAGAAGTCAATTTGCTTAAAAAAATCAATTTGCAATAAAAAAAATTCTCAAAAATTGACGGCTTTACACGTAAGTATGTTGCTTAAGTCAATTGTCATTCGTGAGATACTGCTCAACAAAATGCTCTAGTGTGCACCTAGTTTAAAGGAGTACAACTCTATTTACCAAGTTTTAAAGTATGCAGTTTTAACTTCTCCGGTCTTGTCATATGTAAATTCTACGTTTTATCAAAACTACCCCAAGCGATGTTTGCTTTGAGAATAGGTTGCAAAATATGCCTAAATGCATCTAATGATTACTTGAAATCTCGAAATTTTTCAACTTAAAAGCTTTTGATGGTATGCCGAAACATAACTTCAATTTGTAAATTACATTGTACGGACATCTTAAAGAGAGAGAGAGAGAGAGAGAGAGAGAGAGAGAGAGAGAGAGAGAGAGAGAGAGAGAGAGAGAGAGAGAGAGAGAGAGAGAGAGAGAGAGATAATAAATTATGATGTAAAGTCAGCGAACGTGCTGGTTTTTTGCAGTTATTGAAAATGATATCTTGAAAATGTGTTGCATGAAGTTGTACTCGAGGAATTGATTGTTTCATGATAATGTTGCCTAAGGAATTGTTTATTGAACGCAAGGGCATATGAGGAGGTCCAACAGGAAATTTTCAATTCTCTGTCTCCTTTAATAAGTGGAACCCTTCTTAACAAACTAGAGCTTGTTGGCTTTTTAAAATGCCCATTTAAACACACTCTAACTTCTTATCTAAATAGTTTTCATAGCTAGGGCATTCCCCATAATATGTCAAAAGCTGGCAACAAGGGTAATGTTTTTTGCCAACATTACTCGTTTCTGGAGTAGATTTTCGATACTTTCCCTCTTGAACAACCTTACCCCAACAAAGATACGTTTCATGGCCTATCGAGTGACTTGATATCTTGCAGGGAACTAAATTTTGATAACACATCGCAGAAAATAGTTTTCGGCCATTGAATAAAATTGCTTCTCTTCCTTGACGTCAGGAATTCCGTAAAGCTTGACCTCTTTTGTGAAATTGTGGTTTTTGGACGGAGAATGGTTTGCTAAGAACGTTATTTATGGATTCCGGAATGTAGACAAATTTTGGGTGTTGTATTGAATAATATGAACAAAGGAAGTGTTGTTGGTGGGAAGTTAGTATGAAATTGTTTCACTAATGTCGAAGAATTCCGCATTGAATTACGAAATGTAAGCGAAGCTAGAAACAAACTCTTACTTAAAGATTCCCATTCGCAATCGAACGAAGTAAATCGGTTCAAAAGAAGTTATTTGCTTTGAAGTTTGGTCGATAGTTGAGAAATTCTTATGCATTGGAACATGTCACAATTTCACTGAATCCATAAGCAAAAGATTCATAATTAGATTTGATAGATTCACAAGCCGCGATATTCGATGATGATCCAGCTTCAGATTCGACCAAATACTAAGAGGTGATGATTTAACAAGACTTGCTTGGGGGTTATCAGCCGTCCACTGACTATGAGGTCAGTTGCTGGTTTCACGTTCCCCACAGAATCACGCAATATACACTTTGTTATCAGTAAACTTTTGTAGGAGAATGATCACTATTTAAAACAGCACAGCGAAAAGAACGGCCTAAGGTCCAATAGGGTTTACTAAAAGAGGAATGTATAAGTGCAATGAAAGAAACAATAGAATATTTGTTGACACATAACTCGAATAAAAGCTGAGGCTTTATCGTGCTCAGTAAAATAGTATTTGTGTATTCTTCTATTCTGTATTAAACATCTGCTTGTATGTTTATAGTTTTTATGTAAAAAAATAAATAGACATTGTCACAAGACAAAATCTACCGGGGTACCTAGAGATGCAGGTCAATAAAATTCTAAAGATTGCTTATAACAATGTAAACGTATCATTTTTTCCTAAGCATTTTAAAGACCTGACATGAAATGAAATTTGAATTAAATATGTAGATATATGATGAAGTTTCGTTCTTACATCTTTTGTATAACTTACTGTGATCGGAGGTATTGTTTCTTTCCTGCTTCCTTTAACTTTCTGCATGTAATTCTAGCCAAAATTTTATTTTTGTATGGTCATGGTGTTTTCTAATCATCTTTTTTCATTTTAGGCCACAAATGGGGACTATGTCAGGTAAATGCCATTTCGTGACTTTGCTGATGACGTCACAGCAGATTCTATACAATTTTTGTTTTCATTACACTATAAACGTAACTGTAGAGCTACGTTCAGATCTATTTCTATGAATTTTTTCAAGATTACCGATAGAATTTTAAGATTTTGGATCCCCTCCGCAGTAAAATATTGATTTACTGGCTATCAAGATATATACGCTCCAATTTTGAACAGAGGAGGGGTTTATTATGGACTATACATAAATTCTACCCGATCTTCGGATATTCGTCTTAGGGGTGAAATGATGTGTGGATGAAACTGTATGGTAAAAAGAACTCCTCAAGTATTAATCCATTAATTAATCATTGTGTGCATTACGTACAATTATTAGTTATTTTATCGAAGCAGATTAACCTGCATTGCATAAAATATTTCCAAAAGCATGTAGAATAATCTTTAGTCTCGGTTGTTTAACAAAATCTTGCTTTAATGGCATCCCAAGGAACTTTGTTATACATTTATCTGCTAGTAAATGGTATCGTTCAATGTGGTTTTTAATTTGAATTTTGCTCTCTACAGTGAATCAATAACGAAAGATGATCTGAAATCTTTGAAAATTCTACCTAAAAGTACAACTGATAGCATTGCCGAAGAGGAATAGTATGTATTGAATAAAATGTTTTATTTTTATCGAACTTTCATTTATTCTGTTGTTAATGTGTTCTATTTGCCCTGTTCGATAAGAAAATATACCAACAGCCATACTGAAACAAAAAATATGATCGTTTGCCTAACTTATTCTACATTACGAATTTTGTAAATTTCTTGTCACTTTATCTTTTGATAACATCTATTTTAATTTCTTCTTTCATTGTATATACTTCTTTCTTATAAATGTATCTATTAGCAATATTGTTTTGAATAAATTGTTTGAATATTTCTTTTAGCGTTGAAAAAGTGGCTCTACACTATAAAAGAATGAGTGGCTTGCCAAGGGGTGATGCCATAGTCAAGTGAGAAAATATTTGCTTAGAAAATTGGATTTAAAAGTCTTTACTTTCGTATGAATGTATGTGTTTTGTGCTGTCATCATTCTTAATTTGAATTTCCTGGAAAAACTAGAGGGGTATGATATTGACACTTTGCTTTAATCTACAGTAGTGTACCAAATTATTTGTAGCCATTGCTGTTAGAATGAGAAGGAATTCCTTACCAATCAAACAAGTTGAGTAAGTTGTTGGTAGATAAGTTAACTTGCTCTGGTCTTAAGGCACTGTCAGGTGTATACAATTAAAGACAATTCTTGTCACGAAAGTGTCCTCAACTTCAAAGTCTTATTCGTCAACATTGTTCTTTCTCAACCTAATTTTCCTAAATCATAAATCTTTTTCAATCCCACAGTTTCTTGAGCATCGTGGAAAGGCTTTCGACTTACGGAGTCCATTTCTTTGATGCCAAGGTTTGTTTCAGTTTTCTCCTAATTTTCCTAGTTATCTATTACATTTAGAAGATTTGAACTAACAAATTTTTTCGTGAATTTTCATTGCGAAGCACCTAGAACTGACGCAATAGCCAATTCCAATTTATCCGAATTTTTTTGAGCTGAATAGGACAGAATCCAATCTGATTATAAAAATTAATTCATCATGTTTGACTTTTGTGTTTGAATACCAGCCCAGAAAATTAAGCTTTTCAAATGTTCATTGTAAATTTAAGCAATGTGAAACACAGTGAAGCTACCTAAGTTTAAAAAATCTACCAATGCACAGCACACACAATTAGTATCGTTGGTTCTTTTTTTGCTGTAACCAGTGTTTTTTCGAGGTGAATGCATCGATAACGCTGCTCTTTGCAAGCAATTTATTAGAAAATAATATGATACTTGATCGGCTAGGGGTATCCAATTGACATCCTGTTCAGATATCAGGTCATTGGGCATTGGTCATTGGGCAAATTATAGGCATTATACCTGTCTAATCGAGAAAGTACCCATTCACACACAGTCTCTACATATATTCAGTTGGTAAAACCATAATTGCTGCCATGTCCACTTGCTAGGTAAATTTAAGGTGCCACACCAATGCAGATTCTCTTTATAATGATCAATTTTTGTTGTAGGAGTAATCAATATATGTATGTTTTGATATCAGTGAAATATGTTGCGGAACCAGTTCTTCTGCCTAGTCAATTTTTAAACAATTCTTTTTATAAGCAATCGCTTATTTACTTATATATTGAGTCCAGAATATTCTCAAAGATTGCTGACAACATATTTAATTTCTCTGCAATTATGAATCTGTTGCAGTTACTCCCATTCGTAACTTTCTTTGCAGGACAAAAATGACGTGCCATGGAGACTGGGTGTAAGCCACAGGGGTATAGGGCAGTATTATCCTACCGACCATGTAACGGCAAAAAAGGTACATTCCTGTCCTTAAAGATATTGAGAAATGCTTCTAAATTCGCAAAAATTGTTTTCTTTGCACAAAGATTCATTCTTATGCGCATCACTTCACAGGATTTGGTTAAGTTTTAAAACTAGATTACATGCGTATCTGGCGCCGTATCGTGTTCTTTACACGCATAGGACGTATCGATAAGGTGTAATATATACAGTATCATATTTGTTCACATACGGATTTCATCATATTTGATGGTATGGCTTCATCGTTGTATCATCGTGAATAGAATACAAGGATATCATTTTGTACAGAGTCACAAGCACATAATTCTTAATATTGTATAATGTAGCTGCCATGCAGACTTGGCATGTTATAAGAAGACTCTTGAATTAGTTATGTGATATTTATTTTCTCGACTTTATTTGCCAAATTTATGTACAAAGTATTATTGATTCTGCTTTAATCTTTTTTACGGAAATGTTAGAAATGAATTCTCTTTTGTTAGTCATCAATGAACATTAAAATTTCAAAAAATTTTGTTACAAATTCCAGGAAAGGAAATATTTGAGTTCTTCAAAGATAAACCAAGTTGTTAGTGTGATAATACTATATCTGCCATTCTTTATCGTTTTAGACCTACATGTGGAGTCGCATGGATAACCTCTTCTATCGCGATAAGAAATTCTCGATTGAGATTAGAGATCTAACAAGGTAAAGTTTTATCGTAAAAATTTGTGAAGTTGTTTCTGCTCCTGCAGAGCACGTGTTACTAATCTAAGCTTTGAAGCAAACTCCATGCAATATTCAGTAGGGTTTAGAAATGTCTTTTTGAGTTAGTGTTTTGTTTTGACAATCGATATCTGGCAAGCTTGACCAAATCAGATGATTTATGGGCTAACATCTTGCCTGAAAGACCTTCTCACGTTCCCTTAAAAGTGATAAATTCGTACATGCTGCTATCGGATTTTTTGAAAAGGGATGATCGGTTGTGATTAGTGGCTGATTCATGTATTAATCATTTTGAACAACCGATGATTTGTGTTGCCTAATAAACTAACTGTTTAAATACAAATTCAACTTCTAAAAGATAGCCTGATTAGTCTAGTGATACAAAGTGATTGATCATTCTAGGACTGGCTCAAATCAAAGTGTTAATAGCATATCAAAGTGAGTATGAGCTTAACTTATTTTATGTCTTAGCGTCTACGTGCTAAACAGATCTTTAAACTTGCATGAAGCCTAGCAAAAACAGATAGCACAAACATTTTTCTGAATTCGGAAAAAATTACTCCTTTAAACAAGGCGATGGCCTTTGGAATAAAGGCCCTAGAGTTGATAGAATCTAATTTCTTGTAAATAAAGTCGAAGAGTCTGGCTCGATAATGTTTATATAATTCTGTTTTTTGTTTCGATTAAAGGTAGGGCAATAAAATATGATAAGATTTCTGTGCTGATGATGATAATTTGATATTGAATACATTTGATATTAATTTTAGTATAACATAGAAAATAATGTCATGTCATATAATATATGATCTAACATAGAACTGATTCCTTTCCGTTTCTGTTAAGGTCTGTTATCTCGCATTTAGGTATGCCACTCTTCGCGCTCGCCAGGCTCAGTCTGTTGTTGACACGTGGTACTTCTCGACAACAATAGATGCCCGAGAGATATGGTCCGTTTCGGTTGGTTATCATCAGTTATTGGTGAACAGCAAAGATCTCCAGGTTTGCACCTTCTTGATATTCAAATTTTCATGTTAAACTGAATCATCCATTATATCTTCACTGTAAGCATACATTTGTTCATAGTCCACTCATTGCTATACTGTTCCAGACCAGTATGACCCTTCAGACCAATATGATCCCAGGGTCAGTATGGTCCAGGACAATATGACTCCCAGATCAGTATGACTCTGGTTAGACCAGTATGACCCCTGAAGCGACAAGCCTCGTTTGCAATCTTTTTTAAAAGTTATAAAGCGAAAAATACTTGCCCGGCTCTGCAAAATAAAGGAACATATTGGCCTGGACCGATATGACTCCAGGGTCATATTGGTCCAAGGGGTCATATCGGTCTGGAACAATACCACGAAATATCTCATGGTCTTTGCCGCTGCATTGTATTCATTTTGATCTCTTCTATTTCTTTGCTATCCATTCACTTGCCAAATCCTTCTTTTATCTGTTCCCAATTCCATCATTCAATTTCTTAATTCATTGAAGATCTTTTCATATATAAACATATACTATAGCTATATAGTGACCCGAGAAATAGCAATTTTCCAGAATGCACTTTTCCAAAGTAGGTAGGTTATATCCCAGTGAAATATGGGCCTAGCGTTAGTTATGGGATCTATTTCGTTCTCTTTCTGGTCGTTAAAAATCTATCCATTTACATTCTCTTCAACCAGCTAATGTAAGAATCCTTTTGTGATCTGTTTGATTGTATTACTCAAATTGATTTTAAATCTCATATTTAGTGTAACCAACCAACCAAATTGGTGACATTTTTATATTTCTAGCCTCGTCCTGTTCAGTCATAAAATCTATTCTCTTTTAGCGCTTTCAAGCCGTGCGTACTCTAAAGGATATTGCGAAGGAGCTGACAAAGTCTTCATCCTCATTAGCGACGTCTATAGATTCTGAGTTTACTGGAAGCACTTTTTCTGGAGATGGTGTTTGGTACGATCAAGGTAATTGTACTGAATAAACGCTATTGTCTGTCCAAGTGAGGTCTTTGTTTATCGTTCGGGTTGTAAATATCTTTTAAGTCGTACTAAATGTTGCTGTGTTGTTTTTGCAGAGGATGCAGAGAGTGTGTACATGGACTTTATATCGGCGCTTAGATCTAAGAAAGAAATGCTGGAAATGCGATTAAAAGAACGGGAAGAGGAGCTAAAGGACTTGTCACGGCAAGAAGCAGTAAGCATAGTTTCTGTATGTCATGCTGTTGTGTTTAGTGACTGAGATCTGGTGCCAACGTGGTTAGAGTCGTAAAGATTCTTCCATATTCGGATCAATTCTTCGTGAATATATATACGCAATCCTCTATGCTACGGGGAGTCTTTATTTTTATTCAGGTTTCAAAACCTTAGAACGAAGAATAATTGTTTGGAAGCTTTGTTTGATTATGACATCATTGAAGACTATTCTCTTCCATTTGATAGCTTAGAGAGGGGTGAAAGTTTTGTCTATTTCAAAAACACTGTCCCCATCATTTTAGGATTGAAGCACGCTAGTCCTGGATTAGCCGGAAAGCCCCAGGATTGATTTTGCATCATCTTACAATTCTAGCCTTAGCTGCTTAATAATATCAAGACCTAAAAGGCGGATAAAGCAAAATTAACAAACTCCCTATCATCGTAGCATCTTCAGCACATCCATAGTTAGAAATGGCCACTTTTACATGTTACGTGATTACCTATAAATGCACTAGATTGGGACCACTTCATTTCAGTTATGCTAGTCTATGACAAATATCAAACAGTTTGCATGTCTACTAATTCTTACGACGACTTATCTAAATCTAAAACTAAAAGTCTTAAACGGAGAGTCTAAAACTGCCAATGCCGGCAAAGCTCTTCAAAGCCAGTCATTTTTGCAACTTCAGGAGCTTACTGCGGCTTATCGGGCGAGGAAGGACACAATAGATCAAAGTGTTGGAGCTACGTTCCACTTCTCTGAAGACGTTTTAAAAAATTTGTCAAGCAATGAAGTGAGTACATTATTCACCAGTTTTTACTTATACTGCGAATAATATCACGTAACACTATAGTCAACTACTTTCGAACTTAATTGTAGTCCTACGTAGTTTGGTCCCTACCCTCATTTTATCTATTTCGGATAACATCTTTGTGTCATCACATTTATATGTAGATTTTAAGTCCTTATAGTTAAGTTTCCGTTTTTGCTAAGCACGTCCTTGACGTATTGTTTTCTTAAAGATCGCTTGTGCATCATGATTAAAAAGTAAACTTAGACGCCAAATTTGAAACTGTAATACGTTGCCAGAATATTTTCCTTTCGGATGGCAAAACATGGAAAGACGACCATCAGCAAACATGAAACCTCAATTTTTTGCGTCGGAGAAATCAACCTTTGCATTTTTGAAACTTTAGTTATTTGATTTGATAAAGAACCAATAGATTTGATTTGATTTGATTTGATTTGATTTGATTTGATTTGATTTGATTTGATTTGATTTGATTTGATTTGATTTGATTTGATTTGACTGACGGAAGAAATGGAATAACGCTCAAGGCAAGAAAGAGGTCTCCATGTTTTGTTCCAGCTAGGAAACCTCATTGTTACTCTCTGAAAGGTCTGGAAGCTCTTGTTCGCAAAATCTTTTACTTGCCCTGGTTCCATCGTACGAACAAAGATCTCTGCTCAAAAATATGGTCCTCTTCCTTATCAAACTTTAAAGGTTATCGACAGATATAAAAGTGGCATAAACCATCTGTCAGGCAATATTAGCCAATCATTAAGCGCATGAATGGAATCACTCTTACTGATTGGTCAATTCTTGATTGAAAGATTTTCAAGCCCCTTTAGTATCTGTGGATTGCCTTTGAGTGAAAACTTTCATTTGTTAATGTTTGGGAATTCCTTTTTCAGGAAATGGAAAAGCTAACAAGAGATTATGAAATTCAAAGTCAAATAACAGCAGCTGCGAAGGCATGTAAATCCTTTTTGTTTTACAAATATATTAATGAAAATATCCATTAAAATATCCCTTAATATTCCCATTTATGTGATAACCATGAATCTTCTATTTATTTATCTAAACAAGCAATCGTCTCCTTTGTTAATCAAAGAAAGTACGACCTATCTTCACACTTTTAATGGAGATGATAAAAACTGCGAGCAGGCCTAAGAAATTTTCCATTAGCCCTTACAAAGTGGCAAGTTTTGAAACAAACGAATTGCAGTTTAATTAGGCTACACTTGAAAAATATTTTTTCTATTTCAATTGACCTTCTTTTATCATTAATACCAGAGTCTGTTTACATCGGCCTGCAAAAAGATTAATGGCTAAAAATCTTATTTAGTGACCTTTGTGCTTGAATAAAAAATTGATGAAGAGACTCTTTAGGATGTCAGAAAATGCTGGCTGCATCCTCCGCCTTTGTTTTTAAATAAATAATTTACTTCACTATAAGCTCAGACAACTTGAAAATAAATTTTAATTATTAAAAAAAGCAGCAACTTTAGAGTATCGATATCATTTTGGTAAATTCGCCTTTGCTCGAAATAGCGTTTGCTTTGCTCTTTTGACGATACAAGCTAAGTTTACCCCTGCTCAATTCCCACAACAAGCGGTATGCCTTCCAATATAGTTAATGGTTTTTAGCGGTATGGAGCCGGAAAAGTTTTAGGGATGGCTGTTTTTGTAATGAAACATTCCCACACGGTGTCTCTTTGAGGCCCAGGTTTTTCAACAAACTTTGTTTACAAAGAGTACCCGTTTACAATTAATCAAAATGAGGCAGCCTTTGCTTTCATCTTTATTCACTTTCTCGTTCATGGTCGTCTTAAGCTTTGCAAGAAGGCCTAAACCATTACAGTTATGCCTATTTCGCCAGGACCTTTCAAAATCTTGTTTTTACCTTCTTTCCGATATGACAACATAGCTCCCTGTCTTTTTAGCGCAGTTTCGACATCTCTGAGATAACAAGCTATAACCTTGCTCACACCCCGTCTCTTTAACTTTATGATAATTTCTTTATCAAGCTTTGCATTGTGCAGCAAATCTAAACGAATTCGTATACCTTTCAAATGTTTAAGAGCTTTAGGTATCTTTGGATTTCTTACTAGAGTTTCAGGCATCATAAGCCATTCTTTAAATCAGTATAATCATCATTTTATCTTTCTTAATAGCTGACACTTGATGAAAAATAATTGCCCTTATAGCTTGTTCACTCAAGGTGACTGCTTTAAGTTGCTGCTAGGTATTGAAATTTCGAATAACAGGCTCTTAATATATGAGGTTGTTAGTACCATCGTCGACAAGGAGATTATTAAGTCGCAAACATTTTTTATCCGGACAAATAAACGTTGTTGATGAACATTAATCTGTTGTTTTATCCTTATTTTTCTTTTTTTAGCTTAGTATTAGTTTTAATTAAAACTTAAGTTTTAAAAAGTACTCAAGTATTTTGTTTTTCGTCACTTTACTCAGCTAAATCATTGCAAGGGGCACCTGACCCGGGAGCTCTAAGGAGTTTTCCTAGCTGACCTAAGATGCTTACTCTACGTTAGACGATCGATATTCATGTTAATACTATTGCTGATTTGCAGTAGAGTCAATTTTTCAAATATCTATGAAAAAGAATTGTAAGAAATTATCTATATATTGTGTTTGAGAATCGAAATTGATTTTTGATTATATTTGTAGCGCCTGGCTTTTGATCCAAAAGCTAAAAGAAAGATGAGAAAGGAAAGGCGAATCTTGTATGATAAAGCTGTTGCAAAGGTATGAATGAATGTTCAGTTTTTTAATGAAATAGCTGTTTACATTTGTATCGTAAATTTTGTAAGTGTAAAACGGCAGTTAAGATTTAAGATACAGTACTGAAAATATGTCTTATCTTGCTTAGGCTGTCTAAGACTGAAGCAGATCATTTCTTAGTTTACATCCCCAGGCATTTTTGTATTTTCATCCTTGTTATCAGCTCGATAAGCTTAATTTTCTCGGGTTGTTTTCACAAATACGTTGATTTTCGATACGGGGTAAGTCTGCCAAAAGCAAGTATTTTGTTGTTTGATCATTATGATGTTATATTTTGATGTCACTTTTATAATAATTCTGAGACCTGTTGAGTATTTTGATTGTGATGAATAGTAGTAAACTTTCCATCGCAAAGCTTCAGTTTCTCTTCCAATACTTGATTGCTTGATTGAAAGATGTACACTCAAAGAAAATGCGGAAAGAAATTGGAGTCCTTACTCTAAGATATTATACTAAGTTAATTACACTTTTTAATGAGCTGCTTAAAAGTATAGGCAAGCTGGTAAATATCTTGATTAGTGCTATAGTTGATATTTTCGATAAGGTTACTCTGGATAGAGGCACTTCCTACTACTTCCCAACGCCTTTTACTTCACGCTAACTATAGACGATCGATGAAAACAAAAGGATCATTGTGAGCAGACTCTTCTGATTTACCTCCCATTTTTGGAATGCGCTCTCCTGATTGGTTATAAGCAAAAATGAGAATGGGTGAGGGTTAGCCCAGAGCCACTTCTCAAATAGAGGCTCCTCCACTTCCGTGCCCCTTTATAGGACCGAAGGTAACATAAAATTGTTTAAAGGATTATCAGAAGCATCTAAATGATCGTTGTTCTCTTTTAGTTGAGAGAAATCGAGGGTAAAGTGAAAACTTTGAAAAGAAGTCATAAAACAAATACTGGGTCCCAGAATAATGGCCCTGAAAAAGGTAAGTTCTATTTAATTCTAGCTATCTTAATGTTTCGAGTAGTTATCAATGATTATTTGTGGATCTTTAGGCCAGCGATAAAGGCTGGTTCCTTTAGGGTTGCGATCATCAGCCATGTTTCCAATGATGTGAAATCCTGGAATCTTCTCTCTACGAACTCTGCCAGCGGGTGAATCCTTACAGAAAAGTAGCTTGCGTTGAGAAATCTAACTATCCACCTTAACTGGACTGCAATTTTTGTTGTTACTCCTTCTGCATAAGTACAAGTAAAGTTTCCTGGTGGCTCCTTTCAGGTGGGCATGTGCTGTCATGCATGTGCTGTCTGACTTTTAACCATCATATTCTTCCTGCATCATATTTAGTGTTCTTCCTGTATCGAATTTCGTAATCTTCAAGTATCTTACTTCGTTTTCTTCCTGTTCATCTTTGATATTCTTCCTCTATCGTATTCGGTATACTTCCTATTTCTTGTTTAAGCTAGGTAATTTCCCATCAAGTTTCATTCAATCTCCTCTTATACCATAGATGATCGTCATAATTCTGAAGATAGCAATGTTGACAATGGTGATGACGAATTTGAAACCGACTTCCCTTATCAACCATTTTCTTTGCAAATGCCAGAAGCTATTTCTGCTATGTCACGTCGTGCTAACACGTTTTCTGCAACCGGACGCCCAGATGATTACTACGGAACGCTCAGGGGAAGTCTACAGAAATTTCGAAACGGTTCAGTAGAACTGAGTCCGAGCTCCCGGAAAATGGTATCTAGCCGTTACGTCATAGGTGATTTTGATAGTAGTGGAATATACAGTGGCCTTCGCGATAAAAGGACCAATATGCTTGTAGATCAGTACAAGAGTATGCACGTTTCGAATTCTCTAACACAAATTCCAAAACTAACTCAGCAATATTCTAATACAGCATCATCCAGCTGTGATGAGTTGGAGACGAAATCGAACCACGTTAGCGACAATCACAGCGAAAATGAGTATTACAGGAATGTACAGGCGGATGAACTACGGAATCGGATACTCAACCTTAACAATGGGCCCATTATCGAAGACAGTAGCTATTTTCCGTATAACGGGCCAGCCACTAAATACACCGGTAATACGTCTAGGACACCGTCGGTCTCATTGCTCAGCGGTGCGGCGTGGAACCAACTTTCGCAGCCGTCGATGGATCGCCTACCGCCCGAAGTTGTTTCTTCCTACACGGGAATCGGCATGTCGCCAGAATTGGACGTAAATGATTATTATTTGGAAGAAGAAAGTATATTGGAAAGGTTAGCTCAGGATTTGATATTAGAAAACGACGAGGAACGAGAAGAGAGCCTTGTTTGATTGACATATCTGTTCCAGGTGCTTGTGTATCGCACTCTAAAGGTGGATGCTCCCTCGCAGGGAATTGTCGTGCATTTACTCAATGAATTTAGGCATATAGATTTTTGGTCTAGTTTGGTGAAGTTTTTGAGCGCTGCTTCGGTCATTTGGTAAGTTCTAGTGACATTTCGTAATTCGATCAAGTCGTTACTTCCTCGTGTGACTTGTTTTTTTCCGTCTCGTTGATAAAAATGCCCTTTTTTTAATTGTATCAACAGAATAAAGACTACAGTCGAGTTTTCACCATATTGTCTAGCTGGTCTAGTCAAACCCAGTGTTTCCCACCAGGGTGATAAATTTGTGACATTTCCATAGATACAAAATCACCTGTCCTTAAAACTCAACTATCTTTTTCAATGGCTGAAAGCTTTTTTCATTGAATGAAAGTTCTTCTTGATTACATAGCTCCCGTTCCAGTGAACCCCAACCCTGTCTGTTTTCAGTTTTGCCGCCAATAAGTTCCTAAAGTAAGGATTGATTTGAAGTTGGCTGTGTTCCTGCAAAAAATAATTCCTATTGCTTCTAATCCAAACTTCCCCATCTTAACAATCAAAACCTAACAATCAAAACTTAACAATCAAAGTTTTTCTGTTGTAAATGAATGCATATATCAGTAGTCCTCTTCTTCCCTTGACACTATCTGAATTCAAATATTTTCTGGTGATATGTTTTCCCTTCAACGCGACACCCATGTGTTTGCAGAAAATTCCATTCCAGCTAGGATTAGATGTTATGGAAATCTTTTGTAAAGAAATATCGTTTTTTATCCTCAAAGCTAGAACTACCGCTCCCATTATTCTGTGCTTAACTCTAAAAAAGAGAACATGTAGCAGCTATCAAAATTTCTCAGCTAATAACAATATATTTAGAGTATTGTTTTATCTAGTTTATTTGAAGTTATTTAACAAAACATCGCTTTATTTTAGCTTTGTGTTTTGATGTTTGTGTTTTATAATCAATCGTTTTTTGCGTGTTGTCGTTGACGTATGCATTATGTTTTCCAAATTTTACACTTGACAGAAAAAATTACCATTCTTTTCGAGCTCTTTCTTTAGAGGATGTGATTTTCCACATTTGGTATGTTTTTAAAAGTTATAAATTGTTAGTTTAATATCTAACCGATAGAGAGTGCTGGAACAGTTGATAGATGCAGTGACAGCGGGGGCGGAGGGTGGTGGGGGCTCAGCCCCCAAATAATTTCCACAGAGTACTAAAATCCATATTTCTTTGCATACAGAAAAAGTTTTAATGCCAAAACATCATTATGATATTTCCAGTGCCTTGGTCAATTGATTCGTATTGTACTGTATTACTGCGTAAAAATGATACTGTATTTGGGGTTTTATATCTTTATAGTTGGCTGTAATGTCGTGTATTTGCATTAATCAGGGATGAAATATCTAGAAGCCGTCCAGTTATGAAAAGGAGAACACTTCAATTCAAGTAAAGTACCCTGCTGTTCGTTTGTGAACACAGCTTTAAACCCAATAATATTCGATAGATATTTTATCCTCTTAGTTATATTGTTTGCAGTTTATTGCATAGAATGTTTATTCAATATATAGGAATTATTATTGTGTATGGATATGTAATTAATGCAACTGTTTTTAGTAACTAAAACACTTTTTTAAATAAAATATCCATGTTTCACGGCAACAAGGTCCCTGTATCTGTTTCAAGCTGTTTCATAATAAAACGTTTCGTGATTTGGGACCGGCCTATTCAACGAAACTTTTTAACGTTTCACTAGCTAAAAGTTTATAGTAGCATTACCTCAACGGCAAAAAGAAAACTGTTAAGATCGCTTGTGAATAGACTTGCTTTTGAAAAAGGTTTTTTGAATAATGTCTGAAAAACCCGTTTTTTTTAGTTCACATAAGAATTTTCAGACAGGTCAAAGATCGCGGATACAAAAAGACAGTCAATAATATTTTCGGACAGCCTTTTGCCCGTTGATAAAAACACCCCAAGTTGTTGCGTGTAATGTTTATTGGCACACGTAAAAATTGATTTCAAGTCAATCTGAAACCTACCTACTTTATTTAAAAATTAATCAACCGAACGTTTGCCAAGTCCAAAAGTGTCTGGCAAGAAGAACAGTGTGACAGTAAAATTCATCCTATAGGGGCACTTACTTCACCTGAATTGGCATTTTCAAGAGCACTTTTTGGGACACGGTACCCCTCCCGGTTTCTGAGTCTCTAATTGCAATTTCCTCTCTGCAGACACTGTATGATATTTCTTTCAATCTATTTTTAGTAAAGATGGAATGCGGCGAGCTGGTTTTGAAGCAACCTTTACCGGCTCCTAAACCTAAACCTCTCTACATTGAAATCCTCCATACACTTTTTTTAACAAGAATACTATAAACTTTTTTCAGCTTTGATTTTTTAATATTAAGGGAAACATCATCCACACTTGAATTAAACCACCCTTTTTTTAAATTTGAGATGCCAGTTCTGAAATTCCCCGTTACGAACACCCCAAAAAAGGCAACTGTGGGTTTTCAGATTGCTCACAAACGTCTCCCTCTAAATAATTTTTTTGGGAAAAATCTACACATGTAGCCCTTATTCTAGACTCCTGTTTGTTATTTTCGGGCCTAGTAAAACATGATACAGTCGACTCCGCTTATAGTCACACTAAATGCTCTCCAGAAAAGTGTCACTACCTTATTTAGTACCCCCCCTCCCCCAAAATCACTGATGCCAAAATAAGTAAACTTGACAAAAAAAAGAGATTTTCATTTATTCATTGGTCGTTCCATACTTCACATCAAATTAATATTCACAGTCACACCATGTATCTTGTAGTCTCGACGAATCCGAGGAAAAAGATTTAATGTTGATCAAGCACGAGCCATGTAAGAGCCTTGTACCAAAGTTACCAACCGTTGGTACTCAGAGGGATGAAGTCGAAATTTTCGAATGTTTGATTTCAGAAGGCGACATAGCCCTAGAATATATTTAAGAATCAATAACTGATGAAGATGACGATGGCAATATTGATGTAGAAAGCTGATTTTTTCGCAAATAACAAAAAATTAGTTTACCAATATAAATGGTTTTCAATTAAAAAATATTTATTACGCCCCCTCTCTTATAAGCCCCCCATTTTAATTGCTGAAAAACAATGAGCCCCCGGGGGCTTGAAAGAGAATATACGGTATAAGCGGAGTGTGACATTAAGCGCAGTTAACTAATACAGCTAAATAATTGGAAAAATAAGTTTTGTGGCCCTATAATGGAAAAGAAACTGTTTTCAAGCATTTCAATAATAATATTCAATGTTGTCTTCCCTCCTTTCTTAAAAATGGCTTCAATGCTAGAGCACGTTCGGTGACGTTAGGTTCGATGGAGAGAAGGGGTAAAACAATGCAAAAGCAAAATGCCAACTATGTACAGAAGTGTGATGTAATCAAATACAGTACGAGTTGTGACGTCATCAAATAGAGTAGGATGTATGACGTCATCAAATATCTATTTTCAAAATTTCTTAATTTTGTCCCCCCAATCTGAGGAACGGCATAAAATGCCTCTCAAACTGCAAAATTCAGGTATATTTGTTCAAAACTGGGCGAGATATGGCAAGTGGAAGAGAGGGATACTGTTATTCCGGCCATATCTTGCCCAACATTGAACATATCAGATTTTGCAAATTGAGAGGTATTTTATGCCGTTCTTTCAGATTATGTGGCCAAATTTAAGAAATTCTAAAAATAAAAGTTCTCTATTGTGCGTGATAACATTGAATTAAAAATCCTCTAAGTATTCTTATGATCTACAGTAGAGAAATACTAAAAATAGAGGAAAATGCAAACAGGAAAATGGAAAAGCAGACAAATAAAGTTTTATTGCTAAAAGTGTTAGATATAATAATTTAGAGTGCAGATGTGGCTGTGTTCTGCTGCTCGGGAAGAAAAAAGTTGTGAGCCTATAAACGGCGCGCGATAAAAAGCAGAGTGGAATGTAACTGAATATTTTGATTTAAAGATGCCCCTCGGTGTACTGCTATGAAGACATTATTTATATTTTTCACCCATGTTTTTCCTCCCATCCTGTCGTCACAAGGGTTGGTTCTTTGATGTAGTTGTTAAGTAGCCAGAGAAGAGACAGTGTGTGTTTAGTAGCGAAATATATACATAACATTTTAGCATTTACACGAAAACTAACATAACTCAGCAGTAAGCTCGTTAAGAATGTCAAAAGCGATTAATAAGCAATTACGAATGTCATGTGATTGTCATGTGACTCATGTGACTCTACTTGACATACTGGGGGCCCGGCGAAAAGCTAATCTAGTAAATTGTCTATTAGCTGCGCGTGAATAGCGTCTCTTGCTACGAAGGCTGCCTTGCGTTGTGGACGGGTATTTTCGTTTGAATGTTCTTCATTATTCTCTGTGCTTTCTTCTGGAGTCGAATGGCTACCCGCTTGCACTTCTAACGGATAGAGCTTGACGATTGAACGAGTGGTACATCCCTTTGATGTGCGCACCACAGCAGCCCTACACAGTGAATCAGCACCAATGTTTGAAAACGGACGGCTAGACGTGTCCACGCGAAATGTTGGCAACTCTGCTGACATAGGAAGCGGGTAATGTCTTCCAGTGACTCTCTTGCATTTAAGACACTTACGAAGTAGGTTGCGTGTTGCAGAGCGAGCACTTGGTACCCAGAAACGTTTGCGTAGAGCGACAATCGTACCACCAACACCGATATGATGCAACTGTTGATGATTATCAAGAATCAGCAAGTCAGTAAAACGTGAATGCTGCGGCAAAAGAATCAATGAAGAGTCGAAATCAAACCGACCCTTGGTGCGAATGATTCCCTTTTCATCGAGAAACAAATTAAGCTGACGAACAATGGCTGGTGCATGTTCAAAGCTTGAGCTAGAAGACGATGTTAAATATGTAAGTACTGTTGCAAAGTGTTGATGCTGTTGAGAAAGAATCCATTCTAGCTCTGCTGTTTCGAGTTCAGCAGTCGAGGGCGGTTCCTTTATCCTTGTGCGCGAGCAAAAACGTCGGACGTAAACGGTTGACGCTAAAAGACGAGAGTAGTGATTAAAACGCTCTAGCTCGATAACGTTGCACACACTTGGACGTATTAACGTTTCGGAGAGTTGCTGTTCAGCAACAGCAATGAGTGTTGTTATAGTGGGCGGCTGTGCCTTAGGCCATTTAGGCCACAAAGCTTCTTCGGTAATCCAAGATGGACCCTGACTCCACAGCGGTGATCTTTGTAAAGACTGTGCCGAGCAACCTCTTGAGACTATATCTGCAGGGTTCTCGTCCGAGGCTGTATGGCCCCAGAGAGACGAATCGAAGAGCCTGTTGATAGCATCTACTTTATTTTGTACGAACTGCTTTAACTTGCGTGTAGATGACAACCAGTATAGGGAAATTTCTGAGTCTGTCCACAAATGAACGTGAATACACGAGAATTCCTTTTTCAGAATAGCGAGTAGGTTGTTGCAAAATTGCGCCCCTAGTAACATAGCACTTAACTCTAGTTGAGGAATTGTGAGACCTTTTTTCCCTCTTGGCGCTAATTTCGATTTAGAACCTACGAGGGTGCATTGGGTTCCCTGACTTATGTACGCGACCGCGCCCATAACAGATTTACTTGCATCCGCAAAAACATGCAGATAAATAGGCCGAGAATTGTCGAAGTCTGCCCATCGTGGAAACTGAAAACGGGAGGCAATATTGAGCTCGTGTTCGATATTTTTCCAGCCTTTCGCTTTGGCAGGGGGTAAGGGCTGGTCCCAGCCAAATTTTTCATCCCAGAGCTCAGCAATAAAGAGGCGAGCGAGAATGCACACGGGCAAAACTAAACCAAGTGGGTCGAATAGTTGACTAGCAATACTTAATACTTTACGTTTTGTCAGAGATTCAATGGGCGAATCGAAATTTTTCACTGGAAAGTTAATACAATCCTTTGAAGCATCCCACTGTAGGCCTAGTAGAGAATTAGCCTGCGATTTAATACCAGTGTTATTAGAACTGATTTGGTCTTGCAATGCTTTCGAATTAGTTGACCACTGACGTAGAACGAAATGACCTTCATGCATTATTTCGCGCGCTTTATGGAAATAAGCAATGGCTTCAGCCTCGGTTGGAGCCCCGGAAAGGAGGTTGTCTACGTATAATTTCTGACTAATATCAACAGCTACGGGGTGGCTATATTTCTGCAAATGTTCAAGCAACACAGCACCAAGAGACATTGGACTGCTTGTATGGCCGAAAACGATGGTTGTATATGTATATACACAAATTTCTTTTGTTGGATCATTGTCTTTATACCAAAGAAAACGCACGAAGGGCCTATCTTCCTCCTTGAGTTTGATATTAAGAAAGGCGCGTTGAATATCAGCCACAAATGCATACTGCGGGAAACGAAATCTGACGAGAAGTTCGAGCAGATTATTGAGAAGACACGGGCCAGTGTAAAGACAGTCATTTAGACTGACTTTACCTGCGTTCGCTGCGAAAACTATCCTGAGAGGTGTAGTTTCAGAATCTTTGAGGACGAAAAAATGGGGCAAGTAGTGACATCCCTCCTCGGGCCAAGGTTCATCTAAATCACGTAATTCCTCTATGTACCCCTTACTTAAGTGCTCTGCCATAACTTTACGATACGTGTCCATAAGATTGAGTTTAGTTAAACGCGCTGTTACTTGATTAGACTTGATTAGTTAAACGCTTTTTACAAAGTTCCAGATTAGACGGTAAGGGCGGGTGGTTTGTTTTCCAAGGCAATGGGGCAAAGTACTGCCCGTCACGAAATTCAATCTGCTTTCGGTAACCATGGAGAAAGTTATTTTCTGGCTTGTCGTTTTCAGGGTCACTAACAAATTGACCTTGAAAAAGTCGATCGACTTGAATAAGCAAACTTTCATTGTCAACAAGATTTTGAAAGGAAACATTTTGGCTAGCATCGTTATCTTCGCACAACACATCAATGCACTTTGTGACTACTTCGGAATCTTTAATAGCGTGATTACCAATAATAGCAGTAGTAAGCATCGCGTTTTGTGACCAAGGGCCATAAAGGACGTCACCGAAATGTGATTCCTGGATTAATGGCTGCGAATTATCTTGAATAATTTCCCCAAGAAAACGATAAGCGGCATCAGCACCCAAAAGAATATCAACCACAAACTTATCTTCTTCAAAGTCGTTTGCCAAAGTTAACCCTTGAAGACGGGGGTGCGATTTGAATTCCGAATACCCAGAGTGATCTAGAGGCTGAACAATTTCCTCAGTAATTAAAACGCGTACGTGTTCGATACCTTGTGGGGTTTCCAAGCCAATTTCTGTTACCCCATAATTATGTTGGGTTACTGTCCCTCCAAAACCTGACACAGATAATAATTCGCAAGAAATTGGGTTTAGGCCTAATTGAGATGCAAAGCCTGACCTGACGTAACTGCGCTGCGAACCTTCATCGAAAAATATTCTCGCTGCAAGTTTCTTATCGCTGGAAACAGCAACCCCTTTAGCAGTTTTCAAAAGTATAACATTGCTTGCTACGGTTGTTTGTTCAGAAGCAATTTCAGGCGAAATGTTAGCCTTAGCATCTGTAGTAAACTTGTACGTTGTTTCATCATTACTAGATACATCAACAACATTAACGACAGAGTTAGGTTTATGCGAATAGGAATCAATTTCATCAACGTTGAACATAGTCGAAATTACTGGCGAAACAGAACAACAATTTGTTACGATTTGTTGTGATGGCGTAATGGATGTCGTTTGTGTGTCATTGGTGGTGAATTGTGACGAGGATGACTCATTTTTGACTACAGAAACGTGTGCGTTTGTTCGTGACTTGCTTGGACTAGCATTTCGTGGAGGTTGAACGTTAGAATTAGACTGGTAAATTTGCACCCCGTGAATGCTTGTGTGGTGCTTTCCCTTACACTTGGAACAACGACCCCTCGAATTACATTGAGAAACAGAGTGTCCCGAACCTAAACAGTTAAAGCAAAGCCTTTTACGGATAATAGTTGCCCTTTTCTCGGATGCGGACTGGGAACAACGCTGGGTGTTATGTGGGCCAGTGCAAAATTGGCAACGTAAATCGCTAGATGCAACCAAAGTGCTTGTGACAGACGGGGGTTCGTAAATTTCATGTCTTGCCACGGGCTGAAGAACTTGTGATTGTTCCTCTTTGGCAAGAAACTTTTTGAAATTTTCAACAAACAATTGCAAGTTGAAATAGGATTCTTCTCCACAGTCTCCTATGGCACTACGAGCTTTAACAGGTAACTTCTCTTCAATAATCGGAATTATGAAAGGAGCACAAGCTGCGACATTAACGTTTAAGGCTTCTAAAGAACGAATGTCCCCCATAACTGAATTGTAAAACTGGCGAATACTAGCGGCAAAGGGCGTGGGCTTTGGCATTTTGAGAAGATTCATTATGTGGGCCCGAATTATACGTCTGGGGAGACCGAAATTCTCCTTTAGCGTTTCTTCTAAAACTCCGTAATTTAGTTCGGAGGGTATTATCCCTTTAACAGTATCTAAAGCTTCTCCCCTAAGTTGGCCCACTAAATACGTGAACTTTGCAGTGTTAGGCAGGTCTGGAGAGTTCCCAACTTGCGACTGGAAACGTTCCCAAAAGCCAAACCATTCGATAATATTCCCATCAAAGGTCGGAAGGTTAAGATCGGGCAATTTTGATCGAGAAAATGACTGTGAATGATGTGGCTGTGAATTGGTTGTGGATAGCTTAGAAGAAATTCAATTTTATCGATTTTACCTTCT